GTAGTAGTAGTAGTAGTAGTAGTAGTAGTAGTAGTAGTAGTAGTAATGCTTCATTCTTCCCCTTGATCCCCTTTCACTTTAATAATTTAAGTACAAAGGTAGTACAAGAAGTAATAATTCTACTAAATACACAGTTTTATAAGTCCTTTGCTCATTTGAAGTACTTTTAAAATATATATACACATTACATTCTATTTAATTTAACATAGTAAGTAGTTTTAAAAAAGAAGTTGTACCATACGTTTAGTAGTAGTAATTGTACCATAGTAGGTTCAGTAGTAGTGGTAGAAGTAGTAGTAGTAGTGCCTCATTCTTCCCCTTGACCCATTTTCACTTTAATCATTTAAGTACAAAGGTAGTACAAGAAGTAATAATTCAGAAATATTATATGGTAGAGACTCAATACACACAGTTTTATAAGTCCTTTGCTCATTTGAACATACAAGTACTTTCAAAATATATATACAAGTAGTAGGTTAGGTAGTAGAAGTCACAGTGGTAATACAAAGAGTAATATGGCGTGACAGGATATTTTGGTGTTTTATTGTCGTTTTCCCATGTATTGTGTTTTCTGTATATTTGTTTCTTTCTGTTTTTGTTGACTTTTTTGTGAAGCTGAAGTTGTTGTAAACTTTCTGTATAAATAAACTTGACTGAGTTGAAGTTGTAAGTACATAATGAACAGTTTAATGGTTATCTGTTGTGGTACTCGCTGCAGAACTTGCAGTAATGTTCTATGGTACATTACAACTCTGTCTCTGCATGGTCAGAAGTGGAGACTAAATACTCAACATGACATTTTTGCTCTTTTGTATTCAGTTACAGAAGTACTCAGAGCAAAATTGTCACATGAAAGATACTCAGAGTAAAAGTATCACATGAAAAAATCTACTTAGAAGTAAAAGTATTAAAATATCTGTTTAAAAATGTGCTTAAAGAGTAAAAAGTAAAAGTATTTCATGTATATTTTGAGTTCTTATAAGGTTTCAAATGTATTAATTTTGATTTTTGAAGTTTTATGCAGAATTTGGTTCAGTACAACAACAAAACAAAACATAGCGCGATGTAAGATGCTCTCTGTCACGGAAAGGAAAGGAAGAAAAAAAAAAGCTATATATAACTTATAAACTATAAGCGCAGTGATAAAACTTTTTTCTTCTTGCTGTTTTTATTTGTATATTTTTGTTGGCTCAAACTGCAAATGTGTTAAAAATAAACCCTCTGCCTTTTCAGCAGGTCTCAGACTACAAAACAAATAATTTTACTTTTCAGTCCAGCTCAAAAATGTAATGGAAAAGAAAGTAAAAGTAAACAGTATTTACTTTAAAATCTACTACTAAGCAAAGTACAGATACCTTAAATGTATACTTAAATACAGTACTAGTAGAAGTAGGAGTAGTAATAGCATTAGTAGAAGCATTTATAATAATTACATTTAATTTAATTTAATAATAATAATAATTGAATTAAATAGTCGCTGGTTTAGAAGTCATTAGTTGTAATACGAGCTGTAGAAATATTAGAAATTTTAGTGAGCCAAGATGCAATGTTATACAGTATTAGCAGTTCCAGTAATAGTAGGAGTAAAAGATTAGGTAATATTTTTTTCTTTTTTTGTACTAAAGCATATCAAAAATACTTTCACTTCCTTAGAGGATTCGATCTGTCCCCATTTACACTGCATGAAGTCACCTAGTAAAGTCTTTGTTGGCTAAGAATTCAGGCCAAATCAGCCATTTAAAGTTAATCATTGAAGAAGAAGTCGGTGAAAGACAGAAAGCGTTTGAGTGTGGTTGATCATTATTGAAAAGCAAAGTAAAAGAAGCAGAGAAGAAAGAGTTATTTTAGTGTTATCAGTCTATCATCTCCTCATTGTTTTCACTCGAATAAAGCTGGCTCATGCTTACAGTAACTCCTTGTAATGGCTGACGATTACAGTAAGAGGGTCTTTGGTGGTGACAAAGTTCAAGAGGAACAGTGTAACTTTGTGGCCGGCTGACCACAAACCGAAAAAATAAAAAGAAATCTTTAAGAGGTGAGTCATGGATGGGTCTTTCCAAAGTGGACCAGCTACTTCCAACAGCTTCTAACAGTTTGGGACAATTTGCTTTACATGTGTTTATTTTAACACAGTACTTAAAGGTGCACTGTGTAACTTTTTGGTTGGGAGGCCATCACCTGCTTGTTTCTGTGGATGTCATTGCTCCGCCTGGAATGTTCCACAGTGTGATGTTAAACAGCTCTAGTCTACTTCACTTTATTAAATTACAGGTGTTTTTATAGCTCAAAAATACATAGAAAAACAGCCATTATCCACAGATCTGACCTGTAACTTGGTCTGGTTTGGTCTCCATGGAGATAGAAAGGTTCTATATCACACTCTGAAACATTCTAGACAAAACAACAACATAGAGAAAAGCATTTGGCAGACCCTACACCAGAAAAGTTACACAATGCACCTTTAAAGAGTCCACATTACACTATTGAGTCTGACAATACTATATATATTATGATTTGCATGTCATGATTCGATATATCCCGATACTAAAACTATGTTTTAGTATCGGGATGGATGGGATAGATGATGTATTGCAATTTATCAGTAATTACTTCTATTAAAACAGTCAACTACACCTTCACAAGAAGACAACTGTATGAAATATAATTTATAAAAATGTTATGTCATCAATCATCACAACAGTGAATGTAAATAAGGACTTTTTGTGAAAAATATAATTTAAAAAATGTATTTGGATGCATTTTAAATCAATTCAAGAATTGTGCAATGAAGCAGAGATGCAACAAAATTCTTGCTTTGCAAGTCTCAAGTAAGTCTCGAGTCTTTGACCTCAAGTCCGAGTCAAGTCCCAAGTCAAATCCAGGCAAGTCCAAGTCGAGTCTCGAGCCACTGGCCCATAAACTGGTCCAAGTCATCTGCAATGAGCTTCAAGTCATTTCAAGTTTTTAAATCAAAAACCTACCAAATAGAGATTAGATTTTTGATATGTATATGACTTTTAAACTAAATTGTACTTAAAAAGTCATGGTATATGTATATATCAATATTTCTATAAGTGTCGTAGAAATGCAAGTATTTCCGTTTTAAATGTCTTGACCAAATCTTGATGTGAAGCATTACGGTCAGAATAGAAAGAATTACAATTTTAAAGTGCTATTTAACAGTTATATCTTCATGTATTCTGCACTGACAACACCAAAGGATCATGGTCTATGTGGTTCCCTCAGTTTTTCAGCTACCAAGTTTAATTTAAGAAATATATTATAATCACCATAACTATTCATTTAAGCAAAGAGACTTGTAATTCGTTATACTGTGAGGGTCGCCGATATTACTTTTGACGATATGATATCACGATATTTCGGTTATTGTTACATTGCCTACTACTAAACTAAAGGTAAAAAGTAGGTGTTAACTTGAAAACTAATGCTTCATGACATCACACGGTGGAACAGAGCATTTTGGAGCTTTGGAGATGTAGACATACTAACAACTCAGGGTATGTTTTTGAGAAGATAACAACATTCTAACATGGCTTAAAGCTCACATGTTAGAATGTGTAATATAGGACCTTTAAAATAGATACGGCATATGAAGTGTCTGTATAAATCCATAGAGCAGAAGTGAAACAAAGCAGAGCCGTAAGACAAGTACATTTTTGGTTTTGGTTGTAAGCCTCAGGACATCACTCAGGCCAACCATTGTATTTCTGTAAAGAAACACCCTGATACTTTTTAAAGCATTTTAGTTCTTCAGCAGTTGCAGTTTCTCTATTGCAAGAAACATATATTTGCCCTGACTCATATTATCGTAAAATAAAAGATATATTGTCAGAATTACTCAAAATAATAGATTCGACCTTGAAATTAAAACCCTACAGGAAACCACATTCTATAGTAGACAAGTAAGTGTTTCCTTAAAGGTCCTATATTACTCAAAATGGACTCTTAAGAGCTTTTAGCCAATGTATAATGCAGTTACCTCATCAAAAACATACCTGAAGTTGTGTTTTGTTTCATATGTTTGAGTAATCCTTGATTATTAGTCTATATGAATGCAGGATTAGTGTTAAACATGTGTGAATGACAGTGTTGGGAGTAACACGTTATAAAAGTAACAAATTACTTATTAATTGCTTTTAGCTGTAACACAGTAATGTAACGCACTACAGAAAAAAAAGGTAATATTTTACTCAGTACAAATGTCAGTAATGCGCTTTACAGTGCTTTTTTAACCTGGACTGAAGTGGTGAGTTTTTCGTTTTTCTTCATACAAATTCGCTAAACTCACCGCGATATCAGCAGAGGTGAAAAGCCATCGTTACGGTTCCCTCAGGGGCGGTCCTAGATTCCTAGTCCTAGTCCAAGATTAGTCCTGGTTTGGTCCTGGTTTGGTCCGGGTTTAGTCCTGGTTTAGTCCTGGTTTAGTCCTGGTTCAGTTCTGGTTTAGTCCTGGTTTAGTCCTGGTTCAGTTCTCGGTTTAGTCCTGGTTTAGTCCTGGTTTAGTCCTGGATTAGACATGGTTTAGACATGGTTTAGTCCTGGTTTAGACGTGGTTTAGTGCTGGTTTAGACATGGTTTAGACCTGGTTTAGACCTGGTTTAGTCCTGGTTTAGACGTGGTTTAGTCCTGGTTTAGTCATGGCTCAGTCCTCCTGGTTTAGTCCTGGTTCAGTCCATATACGGCGCAAAAGTTCAGGCATCTTTGCACAGTTATTTTGGTGAGAGTAACTTAAAAGTGCTGCAATAATCACGTAACGCCTTACATTTTAACTGCAGTAATATTGTAATGTAATGAATTACTTTGAAATGACAGTAACAAGTAACAAATAACACATTAGAGTTGAAGTAACTTGCAGAATAGTGGTGAATGAAACAAAACGCAACTCTGGGTGTGTTTGTGATGAGGAAAATATCATAATATAGCCTCTTTAATAATCACTAAGCTCTTGTGTAATGTTCTGTTTTTTAATATATTTTTACCTTAGATTTCCCAAGCTGAAACTCCTTTTTGGTTGGATCGTGCAGGTTGAGAATCTCCAAACAGCACTGCCTCTCATCACTGGGGACGGCTTTAGTTTTCAGAATCATCTTGTACCTGTCAAACACAAACACAGTTCTTATTATCGTCCACCATTTTGGATGCAAGCTCTTTTCGGGGGGCTGTAAAGGTTGCTAAGTGACTGAAGTGACCCGGTAGCCCCTGTGTTTTTGTCCTGATGTTTGAATTCTCTTTTCAGGAAAACGAAGCTGAAAAGAAGCTCTGGAGTTTTCCTTCCGAATGTTTTGGATGCACAGGCTGTACTGGACATTCCATTACAAAGAGAAGGAACAAATGGAATCCCACAATACACAAAGTACTTGACCTGTCCCAAGACCTCTCTGACATAACACAGTCCGACAAGCTCAAAACTCTCATCATGATTCATTAACAGGATATTTTTGTAGTGACTCTCTACTTATGTGCACACAAAACTTCGGTACACTTTAATGGTCCACTGTCAGCGTCATGAATCTGTGTCTCATTCATTCATTTGTTTTTCAAAATAAAACCAAAATTAACAACACAAAAAAAAAAACTATTTACTTCATTATTTGTCTCCAAAACCAAAATGAAAAAACAGATAACGATTAGTTTTTTCGGTTTTCGATTTTGTGTTTAAATGAATAATGGAAACGGATAACGGTCGGACTTTTGCGCCGCATATGGACTGGTTCCAGGACTGAACCAGGACTAAAACAGGTCTAAACTAGGACTAAACCAGGACTAAACCGGTCTCAGTCCTGGTCTGGTCCCAATCTCAGTCCGGGTCCCAGTCCCAGTCTGGTCCCAGTCTGATCCCGATCTGGTCCCAGTCTCAGTCCTGGTCTGGTCTTGGTCTCAGTCCTGGTCTCAGTCCTGGTCTCAGTCCTGGTCTGGTCCCGGTCTGGTACAGGTCTGCACCTGGTCTTAGTCCTGATCACCCGACAGTGTACACGGGCGCACCTCTGGGCCCATCCTGACACTCAGTTCTGGTTCAGTCCTGGTTTAGACCTGGTTCAGTCCTGGTTTAGACCTGTTTTAGTCCTGGTTCAGTCTTGGTTCAGTCCGTATGCGGCACAAAAGTCTGGCATCGCAGTTTAAGTCACGGAAACGATCATCATTCATTTATTCATTTTGGTTTTGGAGACAAATAATGAAGAAAATCGTTTTTCCATCTTATTTTTGGTTTTATTTTGAAAAATGAATGAATGATACACGGATTGTCAAGTTTTGGATTTTTGTGTTTGGTTTTACTTCTGGTTGTTTATATTATTACTTCTTCGAGTTTATGTTAAAGAACTTTTCTGTATTTTGGGTCCTCCTGTTTACATCGTAATAAAAAAAAAAAGTTATTTCGATATAGATTATCTCTATAGCAAAAATCATTGATTAAACATATAGAAGTTGCATTATATTAAATGGATTATTTTATCTAAAAAACATTAGTAAACATAGGTTGGTTCATGTGACACCATAACATTTTAAGCTTCTCATAGTTTATAATGCAGCTGGGGGACAAGTCAGAATACTATAACCAGATTCACTGTTAAAGTGAAGATTTGTTGACCTGGTTTATGGTTTATATAATACTGTATAATGTGATGTTTTGTGATTTCATTTCATTTTTTTTTACTTTTATTCTCTGGCTTTTAACACTGGCATGAGTTGTGTAGTCCTCTCTGTCTTTTATTTATTTGACTTCTTTATTGCTATTTTATGATTTTCATAGTTTGGTTTTATGTGATTTTAACTGGTTTTATTGTTTTAGGACTGGTATGATCAATCTAGCTTTTGTTTTCTTCATTTTACAATCTCTGTGCTGCACTGTTTGTAAAATGTGCTATATAAATAAAGTGGATTTTGGATTTTGGATTGATTGTGTTGGCGGTTATCTTGGTCAGGTCTCTCTTGAAAAAAAGATTCTGAATGTTACTGTGACCTCCTGGTTAAATAAAGGTAAAATAAGATAAATGAAATAAAAATATCTTTGTAATTACTGGTGAAATCGTGACATAATCAAATGTTCAGTCATGTGTGTGTGATTTTTGCATCGGGATCAGGCTGACCTGCTGTTGAAGTCCTTAAAGGTCCTCCTCACCGGAAACCCAGCTCTCCGTATCTTCACCGTCTCCAGCATCCCGGAGTACCTCAGCTGGTTCAGTACAACGTCTGGGTCAAACTGATTAGGTTTCTGCAGGGAAAAAAAAACGCCACATTAGAACAACTATTATGCATGACCTGAACTCAACCCCTGGAGGAACGCTGTCTGCAGAGGGGAGGCCCACATGAAGCCTGCAGGTCTCAGAGTTCACAGTCCATAGAAATGAAGGTTCAGCTGAGAGATCACTTTACACCTACACCCAAAGCACACGACATCCAGGGAAATATGAACGCTGTTGTGCAAGAGGTGCTTTTCACTCGTAATCACCGCTATTGTCTGCGCCTCCTGCACCTTGTCACTCACAGCTGAATCTGGGCTCCAGTAACCGCAAAACATAATAATTCAATCTAGTCCCTCAACAGGTAATAAAGCTGCTGCTAGTCAGGAAAATTGACGGGTTCAGAATGTCGTTTCTTTCAGTGAGACGAAAATTAAGTAAAAATCTAAAACTCTATATTTTAGGCTACATTTATATGATGAAGGTCTGAACAAAAGATGCAAAAGTCGCGTCGCGTCTTCACTTTTTATTTTGCTTTTAGACGAGGAAATCTGCGTGCATACGGTGACGCAAAAGTGTGTGGAATTTGATTGTGTGTGCATGCCAAGTTTCTGTGTACTGTATGTATGTGACGTAAACGTGTACGTGACGTGAGCAGATCTGACCACAGTTTTGCGTCTTGGGCAGTGTAGACGGAAACTTGATGACGGAGCGTATTCAACTTTTCTACTCTGGAGTTTGGTTTCAGATTTTTGCATTTTTAAGCCCCAAAAACGCCGTCACCGTCTAAATGAAAGGCACTTCCGATAAAATATTTTGTAATTTTTACCGGCAAGCATTCTCGTGTAAACAGGCCCTTAATAATAATAATTCCACCATTCAAATGAAAATGGTAAAAAGTCCTCAAAATGTTGCCTATCAATGGGTTTCAAAGTGATGAGAAATTAGGACCGTTGCCATAGTGATTAGCATTTTAAAACAATATTGAGATTTTGCAGCTGATATTGTAATGTTGTTTCCTCATCAAAAACATACTTGGAGTTGTGTTTTATTGAATTCACACATGTTTAACACACAAATCCTGCATATTTAGGATGAGTTCTTCCCTCAAACAGAAAACACTTTACTTTGTGATTTCATGCGGTAACACAGGAAGTGCTCCACTGTGTTTTTAAATTCCATACACTTCACTAGAATCATTTGGATGATTTCAACCCCAGAATTGGCAATCTCTACTGAACAAAAGGTAAAAAGTAGCTGTTAACTTCATCATGGAACACAGCATTTTGAGCTTTGGGGATACCGATAGACTAATAATAACAATAATTTGTCAAAGCCTAATCTCGTCAGATCTCAGAATCTAAACAGGGTCGGGCCTGGTTAGTACTTGAATGGGAGACCAAAGAGAAAATCTGGTGCCACAGTGGGGCGGCAGTCATAAAGAAAGTGAAAGTGGAGTGTGCGTGAGTGTTGGTGGTGATCAGAGGGGCCGATGGTGCAGACTGGCAGCCTCGCTTCTATCAGGCTACCCCAGGGTTGTGTGGAGCTGTGGCTACAATAGTAGTGTGGAGTGAATGAATAATGCTCTGTAAAGCGTCTTTGAGTGTCCAGAAAAGCGCTTTATAAAACTGATGATGCATTATTAATACAGGATTATGGAGGTGTGAATGAAACAAAACACAACTCTGAGTATGAGTTTTAGGAGGTAACAACATTATAACTCACAAGAGTCCATTTTGCAGAATATGGGACCTTAAACATACCTTATTTGTTCCACTTTAATTACCAGTTCATTGTACCTTGCACTAAAACATGTAGAACACGTGTCACCATGAGCCAAACTACACCTGACCCTCTCTCTCTCTCTTTTCCTCACCCTCCCTCCCCGAGAATGTGTGTGTGTGTGTGTGTGTGGAACTGGGTTAAATATATTGTGCAGTGAGTCTGTTTGCATGGCACCAATCATGTAGAGGGATAGTGCTCGCAGTCCTGTCATTCTGAAGGATTAGCAGCGCCGAGCTTGTTCCATTTGAACCCGCTGAGGCCAGGTGAAAAAACCCCAGCCAGCACAAACAGACAGTGCCAGCCAAGAGAGGTTTCCAGGGAGAGAGCTCAGAAGTATGGGCAGGATAACTCGATTCAGACACAGTTGCGACAGATTTAAAGCAACACTGTCCAAGATTTTAAGGTTGAATGTAATGGCTGCTAACTTTGGAGTTTGATTTACTGCTTTGAGAATTAGGACTATAGTAGTATTTGTCTCCTGTTTTGTTACTTGGAAACAGTTTTAGCCAAGACATGAGTTTATGTACTTACAGGATACAGTATTTCCATGGAAACAAGCAGAAGGAGACCCTGCTACAAGCCAAATAAGTGTCAGGTTTGTGGAGATGCAAGCCCACTCACAGTAAGGACACGTTTTTTAGTGCAAGCAAGAAAAAAAGCAAGAAAACACATGTTGTTTTGTCTATTTTTCAGTAAGCAAGTGACATACTCTAGCTTTAATATTTGTAAATAAATACTGTACGTTTTACATAATGTATTTGTTAGGGATGTAACAATAACTAAATATCGTGATATCGTATCATCAAAAGTCTCACAATAATATCGTGGACGTTCACAATATATCAAATTACAAGTTCCTTTGCTTAAATGCATGGTTTTATAGTAGCAACAGCTTATAAACATAGGGAACTACATATCCCATTATTAATTTCAGCGCAAACAACATGAAGAAATATGTTTTTTACTTGAATTCTTGGGATTATGGCAGAGATAATTCACATCAAAATCCTGTCAAGGTATTTTAAAAGCAGAAACGTGTTCTATCTATCTATCTCTAAAATATTGCAATAAATATCGTGATAATGAGAGATTTGGATATTCTTACATCCCTAGTATTTGTAGAGGAAATTTTGTGCCTTGGTTCTAAGTTTTGCTTCTAAGTTAAATTTATAGATAATTGTTGTAATAAACTGTATTATTTTGTTGAAACGTGATCCTATCCTATGTCTAAGCGGGTTTAAATCTTATTATTTATGTGTGTTCAGGGTGGGGCCAGGTGTGCTTATAAATGCAGTTTAACTTCTTTTTACTGTGTTTTCTGTTTTCTGTTATAAATGTTGGTTTACTTCATGTGGAATATTATAGATACCAATGGAATCTCTCCTTCATTGAAGCAAAAACCATGTTTGTAAGTGTGGACATTTCTACCATTACTCAACTACTACAAACACACGTCAAGATCAAGCCACTACAGTATTAATGGTACACATCACTTACAATAAAGAAATAATAAAACTATTGTATATTTGTTGCTTAAAACAGACAAAAAATGTTAATGTGTATTCAAATAATTTGATAAGTAAAGAGATAACTGAGATAACCCACCACTCTTACTAAGGCTGTGCAATTAATTGAATTTTGATCGCGATTTTGATTTGATTTTGTGTCAAACGATCTCCAAACTAATAATCGAGATTTAAAGCTGAACGTTTATTTTGGGATTTTTTTTTTTTTTAAATATATAAGTAGGTATATTTATTTATTTTTTTAAATATAGAGTTTGTATAACAGCTGGATATATAGTTTATTTTGGATACATTTATATTTTTCTATGCCTTATTTCATGTTCAAAGTATATTTTATTCATTTTATGTTTATTAGAATTAGAATTTTTTGCGTAAATTATCAATAACAAAGTGGGGGTATTTTTTGAGAGAAAAATGCTGAATAAACGCATCGTGTAAGTAAAAAATAATTGTTTGAATAATCATGATTTCAATATTAACCAAAATAATCGTGATAATGATTTTTTCCATAATGGAGCAACCCAAACTCCTACACATAAATCCTCTTTGTAAGCAAACCAAAAGAAACCACTGCTAGCCAGTTTTTCTGTATTATCAGGAACCATCAATTTTATGTTTATTTCTATTAAATTATGTGCATCACTTTTAGTAAAAATACAAGAAAATTTAACAAATTCAAAACAATATGACTACTGTGAGCATAGAACAATAATATGTAGCCGCAGTCTGGAGTACACTAGTCTTATCTGTGACATTCCTCTGATGCATGAAGATCAGCCGAGTATGACCCCGACCCTGTGCAGCTGAAGTGCCCCACCGTGACCTTTGACCCCCCGCAGTGTAGAAGCTAGAGTGCTAGGAATGCGCCAGTACACAGAGAGACCTTCTTATGTCCGCAAACACACAAAGTAACTAACATTTCTGACAATGACGAACGATGTGGGGAGTTCGGAGACGATTGGGTTACCATAAAATACGCTGTTATGTGCGAGGCTTGTTTAGATAGTCACACCAAGATAGAAACAACACAGTTAAAACATATTGGAGGAGAGGGGACTATGAATAGCATGGAGCATTGTAAAGCTTTGGTCGACCTTCACGGGAGCTGGCAGGGTTTGGTAAATTTGCATGACCTACCTTGTCCATATTCGGTTTGATACAGCGCACAAAGAAGGGATTGGAGGCACTTAGTGTGGCCATCAGTGAATGAAGGGAGTCCTGTAATAGACAAGCACAGGGATAATCACAAACATGCAGAGGTGGAAGCTAACAAACTATAAAAGTAAAAGTGCAATACTAAGTTTTACATAAAGGTGCATTATGTATAACTTTATCATTCGGGGTCCGTCGCCTGTTTGGCATTCTGACTAAGGATGGGTATCTTTAAGAAGTTGGCCACGATACTATAAATTTTTTGATACAGTACACTTTTGATTCAATACTATTCGATATGTTATATTTTAAATTGATTTGATATGGTTCAGTGAAAGACAACGGCTAAATCATGGCTGTGATACTAAAAGTTTACTACAGGGGTGTCAAACTCAAATTCACAGAGGGACAAAATTAAAAACAGGGACTAAGCCGTGGGTCAAACTAAATATTTATCGAAACATTTCAACAACGTCTGCATGTTTTCTCTTCTTTTGAGGTATGTAATGTTAAAATAAATGTTTAATAATAGTTTTGCTTAAACATTGACTCCAGACCAATCATAATATAAAATAATAACAACATTTTATAGCCTGTAGCCAGCGGGCCAGCTCTAATATATATTTGATATGATCTCGCGGGTAAAATATTATTATATCGGACCTGAGTTTGACATGTCTGGTTTCCTAATTCCACTAAGTTTGTGCAGAGTTTATATGAAAAGCACCCATTTTACTCATCAAAACAGTGAAAATGTCAACACAACTGTAGCTATTACACAAAATAATTTAGTAAAATAGACCTAATATATCAATACAGCAGCTCACGATATTGATACTGGATCATCAAATAAAGTGATACGGCATATCGATATTTCAATATTTTTGCACACTCCTAATTCTGACTGTGAGCGTGGTCGCCTCTCCACAAATCTGACCTGTAACTGCCTGGTTTGGTCTTCATGTAGATAGAAAGGTTTAATACCACACTGTGAAACATTCCAGACAAAAGCAATCTCTAAACATCTTCATGGAGAAAAGTATTTGACGGGCCCTCCACCGGGAAAGTTACACAATGCACCTTTAAGTAAATTTTACAATGTATACTTATTACTTTTACTTCTCTACATTTAGAACGTTATGTGTACTTTCTACTCCACTACATTTTAGATCTGGACTGAAAAGTAAAAAGTACACATTTAATTTAAGTTAACATCCCAATTCTGAGTTAACTATGTACACAAAAGTTAAGAAAATTAAAAGAAAATTAAGAAATCATTTGAATCACTGTTTAATTCTTTTTCAAAATCACTACATTTCATCCTTTAATTGTTCTAAATATCTCTGCAAATCACTTTTACTTTTTACCCTTTAAGTACATGTGTAAACAGGTGCTTTAATACTTTTACTTAAGTTGATTTTTTTCAAGTGATATTTTTACTTTTACTTGAGAAACCTTCATAAGAGATTAGACATGAATGCAGATTAGATTAGAATTCATTGTTAGCGGGACAAATGAGATGAATTCCTAAAGTTATTTTTTATTTATGTGATGAAAATTTTGATCAGCTTGAATTGAAAAGACCACTGCAAAAGCAAACAAGCTCCTATCTCCTGCAATAATAAGGGATAAAATAATACAGCTTTCTTTCTATCAGACTGGCAGATCAATCAACAAAACAATATTGGCAAAACTTAGGTGGAGCTAACAAAACACTGACAGTGAAAACAGTTTTAGGGGAAGTGAAGAATTGGCCAATGCTTCCAGTGGTTAGTGAATAACAGTTTTCTTTTTTAAGGATTTCCGTGTACAAATGTTAAATTATATACTCTTCTATTTAAAAACAAAATACAACTAAAACAAAACTGTATTGCGAAGACTTTTAAAGGGTCCATATTACGCTATTTTCTGATCTTGGTTGTAATGTTTCCTCATCACAAACAGACCTGCAGTTGTGTTTTGTTTTATCTGCACATGTTTAACACACAAATCCTGCATATTTAGACTGGGTTCTCCACAAACGGAAAACACTCTGATCCACCTTGTGATGTCATGCGGCAATACAGGAAGTGCTCCATTGTGTTTTTAAACTCCATACACCTTCACTAGGATAATTCGGATAATTTCAGCCCTAGACTTGCTCATCTCTACTGAACAAAGGGCAAAAGATATAGCTGTTAACCTGAAAACTACTGCTTCATGACATCACAAGATGGAACAGAGCATTTTGAGCTTTGGAGATGTAGAGAGTAGAGCCAGTGCGGAGTGGGGCACATTTTGAAAGCTCAAAATGCTCAATGCGGGAGCGGGACGGTGGGATGATAAACTGCAGTCCCACAAACTAAATATGAGTGTAAAGTAAAATATACAATTGATTAATGCTTGCCTGTCATACATTATTTGTGCTGGATATTTCATTTGGCATTAATAAAAACAGTTTAAGTGGTCTAAATTTACGGACGTGGTCTAAACTTGCGTATATTTTAGACATTCTTTTCCACTTCTCCGTGTTTGATAGAACTGAAGAAAGTGAATGCACCCAATACACGGGATTTGTGGGCTGGGGCGGGACAAAATATCGCAGATGCAGGTGTGGGCGGGACTGAAAATTCTGTCCTGCACAGACTTCTAGTAGACAGTCTAATAATAAAGGATTACTCAAACATGAAAAATTTGTGAATGAGTGAATAGTGAATGAAATAAAACACAACTCTAGGTAAATCCGTGTATCATTAGTTCATTTGTTTTTCAAAATAAAACCAAAAATAAGAAAACAACATTTTACTTCATTATTTGTCTCCAAAATCAAAATAAAAATTTTGAAAACGATTAGTTTAGTTTTCGATTTTGTTTAAATAAATAATGGAAAAACGGATAACAACCGCTTCCCATTTCTGTGACTTAAACTGCGATGCCGAACTTTTACACCGCATGCGGACTGAACCAGGACTGAATCAGGATTGAAACAGGACTAATCCAGGACTAAACCGTTTTCAGTCCTGGTCTGGTCCCAGTCTCAGTCCTGGTCTGTTCCCGGCCTCAGTCATGGTCTCGGTCCCGGTCCTGGTCCCAGTCTGAGTCCTGGTCTCAGTCCTGGTCTGGTTCTGGACCTGGTTTAGTCCTGGTTTAGTCTTGGTTTAGTCCTCGTTCAGTCCGTATGCGGCGCAAAAGACCGGCATCGCAGTTTAAGTCAATTTTTTCCATTCTTCATTTAAACACTAAATCAAAAAAATATATAAAAATCGTTAACCGTTTTTTCATTTTGGTTTTGGTTTTATTTGAAAAACGAATGAACGAATGATGGACTGAGTCAGGTATGTTTCTGATGAGGTAACAGCATTAAAACATGTCTTAAAGTTCACCTGAGTCAATTTTGCGTAATACAGGACTTTTAAACTTAAGGAAATTGTTTATTTCACACTTCACATTTACCCATACAGCCGAGGACCCTTGAACATAGCCTGTCTCTCCCAACCGCCTTTGTCTGCCCCCCCCTTCCTCAGACAGTCTGTCTCCATCTACCCTGGCCTGGCAGAAGAGAGCGTGATTGGCCCCTGGTTGGCCCCACTCTGCCCAGCCATCAACCCTAATCCTCGGGCTTTGGGAGCTGTAGACCAGGGCACGCTGCCAAGTCCTCCCCTGCTCCTCCACTCTGCAACACCACTCACAACCGCACATAACAGCAGACCTCATATCACACAGACGCTTTTGTCCATCTCATCTTTTCCATCTTTCTACACTGCCCCCGTGCTGACTTTTCGACTGTCATGATTAGGACTTGAATGTTATGAATTCATTACGCACAGAGAGGAGGACAGTCAGCCGTTTGTGTCCCATTCTGAGAAATTGAAAGTGACATTTGAGTTGTACCCTGAACTGGGAGCTGACGGTGGGCTTGCGTCTCGCCGTTCCCATCTTCAGGGTCTCATCTCCACTTCTGCTCCCCACGCGCTCGAAAAGGTCATAGATGAAGTCGAGTCTGTGAATGACAAAATGCAGGTGTGACAGAGGGACTGTGTAAAGCTGGATATGGTATAGGCTTATAGAGTTATGGTACTCTGTGTGTCTGTGCGTATATACCGGCTGTCTTTAAGAATAAACAAGATGTCATCCCGGAAAGTGTCTCTGTTCTTCTCCAGAATCCCCCGCACATCATAAAGCACCTAAAGAAGGAAAATGTACTTGAAGAACATATACTTTAATACAGCTATGTCTAGAAAAATACATTGTTTTAATACACAATATGTAACAATCCTTTCTAGTTATATTGTGTAATGAACAGTTTTTATTTATTACAGCTTTGTAACTCTCCATACTTAAATAAAAAGTAAAAGTTTCAATGAAATACACACTGGAAAAAATAATATCCAGGTAAATTAAAATGAAAAATGAGTAGAGTTCAACTTGACAAGTAAAATGATCTACCAATGGAACAAGTGAGTTTTTCTTAATTCAAGCCACATTCGATTTAGTTTATTTTAAGTTGTTGTTTTTCTTATTTTAAGTGTAGCAAGATGTATTTTTATATTTTAAGTACAAAAAGTCTTGCTCCACTGGCAGATCATTTTACTTGTCAAGTGAAATTTACTCAAATCATGATAAAACTTTCTTAATTCAAGTCATTTTAACTTGACTAGATTTAGTTTTTTGCATAGACAAACACTGATTCTATTTGTATTTTTTTCTATTTTGTTCTTTTTAATTTGACTGCAACTTAAGCACTATGTAACTTTTCCACTACTTGCTTGGAAATATTATTGCTTTGTCTTGAATATTCCACAGTACAACTTTTTTTAAATCTCCATGGAGACAAGCAGGTAACAGCACCAGCCAAAGTTAGGTAAATGCATGTGCAATGAGTATTTTTATCCATAAACACAAACATAATGGGGAAAAATGCAAGATACATATGTTTAATGCCATACAGTGGAACATTTCAGCAAAGCAATACTATCCTCAATCCAAAAAATTGCATAGTGCAGTTTTAAGAGTGCATATTTCTTTACTTATAACTAACAGTGGCCAAGACTTCACACTGTCTAAATATGAACACTAAGGGATAAAATTAGAAGTGTGTCAAAAGTGACTCTATCAGCTTTACACACATGACCACTGTATAAAATGCACAGATAGATAATAGTTTGTATGTGCTGTCTCTAATAACATCTTTAGCCTTAAGGCCGGGGACTAAGATCCAGTGTTCTACTCAAGTTTTTACAAGATTATGGTGTTCCAGGCAGAGGTGTAGTGGGTGTGGTACCCTGGGATTCGCTGTCCACCCACTTCTCCCGAAGTGAGATATAAAAAAAATAATAAATATAAAATAGCTACAACTTAAATGTCAAACCGGAGCTACTGGTAATGGTAAAAGCAACCTGCAGTACTGTCTTATAGTGATCTGAGACATGAGGGACAAGACTGAACCAGGACTAAAACAGGGCTAAACCACTAAAACAGGAGGACTAAACCAGGACTGAACCAGGAGTAAAACAAGACTAAATCACAACTAAACCAAGTCTAAACCAAGTCTAAACCAGGTTTAAACCAGGTCTAAACCAGGACTGAACCCAGACTAAAACAGGACTAAACCAGGACTAAAACAGGATTAAACCAGGCCTGAACCAGGAGTAAAAAAGGACTAAACCAGGACTGGTCCTGGTTTAGACCTGGTTAAGACCTGGTTTAGACCTGGTTTAGACGTGGCTTAGTCCTGGTTTAGTCCTGGTTTAGACCTGGTTTAGACCTGGTTTAGATATGGCTTAATCCTGGCTTAGTCCTGGTTTAGTCCTGGTTTAGACCTGGTTCAGTCCTAGTTCAATTCTGGTTCATTCCTGGTTCAATTCTGGTTCATTCCTGGTTCAGTTCTGATCTAGTCCTGGTATTTAGTTTGTTTTAATTTATATTTTGTCTCTTATATGTACAGTAAATAATAAGTGAAACTGTAAATGTAAACTTGCTGTTCATATGATGTTTTTCTTTCTTGGAATTCTGTCACTGTTTAATAGGGTTTGGCATTATAAGTATTTTTTACTTCAGCCTTAACACTTTCGGTCATGATCCATGGGTTTGTAGCAAAATAACCAAATAAAACTACTACTACTACTATAAAATCCACTACATGTTATTGTCATTCATAACATCCCTAGAAGATATTAACAATTTTGTAAATATTAGATCTGTTTTTTGATATTAAACTCTTCATTTGTTTAATGCTATACTGTGGAACATCCTAAGCAAAGCAATAACATCACCATGGAGATAAGCAGATGACAGAAAATTGACCACAAAAGCTACATAGTGCACCTTTAAGCATGCATATTCTGTACATCATGTAAAATGGCAGCTATAAATTACCAATACGTATTTCATAACACTTTTATTACAATTTTCCTCCTTTGAGAAATCACTATGACATCTAGACATTTTTATTATAGCCCATATTTTATGCCGGAGATAAGCCCCTTTGTTTGCGGTAAAACATGGCAGTCAATTAAAGCCGTATTTCTCTGGCTCCAGCGGGATAATAATCAAATCTTTGGGAGGAGACGATTTTCTCTGCGTTTGAGATAACAGAGGAGGCTTTGAGCGAGAGACTGAGAGAGGAGGAACAACTGGCCCCAACCGCCTGTGTCCTCTGCACCAAGTCATTACCATACACATCCATGCCAGGCCTGTGACTGCACTGCCCCGGCCCCAACTGAGAGGACCTTGTCTGGGGCAGCCCTCTTAAAGCCATTCTTTATCAACGGCTAATCTACTTCGGCTTTGGCCCATGTCAGCAACTTTCCCCACACACTGCAGTACATCGCTATGCTACGGTCAATATAAAACACACACAAATACACACAAATACACACATACACATCTAGAAACTGCAGTTGTAGCACATGATTCTGTGTTTATAAAAGGACTAAAACTGAAAAGCTAAAAAACTAAAACAAAGCTGTGCTAAAACAAGTATAGTTAGTATAACGGTGTTCGCTTAATCATTATCTTAAAGCTGCACTGTGTAACTTTTCTGGTGGAGGGTCTGTCAAATGCAGTGGTGTAGTGGGGATTTTTTAAGTGGGGGTAGGTGATTTGTGGCGTCATTGATGTTATTGACCCTGACACTGTTCGTAATCATCAGGAGGACTAAACCAGGACTGAATCCAGAGGACTAAACCAGGACTACACTAGCTCTGAACCAGGACTAATCCAGGACTAAAACAGGACTAAACTAGGACTGAACCAGCACTAAACCAAGACTAAAACAGGACTAATCCAGGACTAATCTAGCTCTAAACCAGGAATAATCAGGACTAAACTAGCTCTGTAAAAGGACAGAACCAGGATTAAATTAGCTCTAAACCAGGATTAACCAGCAATAAAACAGGACTAAACCAGGATTGAAACAGGACTAAAAGAGGTCTAACTAGGACTAAACCAGGACTGAACCAAGAGGACTAATCCAGGACTAAACTAGGTCTAAACTAGGTCTAAACCAGGACTAAACCAGGACTAAACCAGGATTAAACCAGGATTAAACTAGCTCTAAAACAGAACAAAACCAGGACTAAACCAGGTCTAATCCAGGACTAAACCTGGACTAATCTTGGATTTGATAGAGAGAGAGAACCCCGGAGCCTGTGGAGAAGGGTGTCCACAAAGCCTGATCGGGCGACAGCTGAGTTTAGCCCCGTGGGGCGTAGAGCTTTGTGCCAGTCCTTTCGTCCCAGCGGTCATCCGACAGGCTACACCTCCGGGCCTGTCCCGACACTCAGTCCTGGTTCAGTTTTGGTTTCGTCCTGGTTTAGACCTGGTTCACTCCTGATCCCCTCATGTCTCAGGTCACTATAGGACAGGACTGGAGATATCATCAGCCTATGCAGGTTGTTTTCACCATTGTAATTTTGTAATTTCTTGCCGGTCCAGATGTATGTATGAAATAGAATGCTAACCCAATTACAATAACACAATTACTGTTAATTTTAATATTGGAAATTTATTCCAAATATTGAATAAGTATTCCTAGCAATTTTAAATCAGTGTTGAGGTTTACAATGAAGAAAACTAACAAGCAATTTCAAGTTTTAGAGTCAAGAGTCTGAGCTCTGTCAGTTTACTGAATATCTCTCCCCACTCTCCCACTCCCTTACTCCCTTGACTAAATCATAAAAAGTTTGCATTTTGTAGAGTATGGCAGCAATATTACCAGCCTATAGTACACATTTAAAATAATAAAAGTCAAATTGTGTGTATTATAGACTAAGTATAGAGTCAAAAGTAGGTAATTATGTAAATGATCGTGCTAAATTACATTTGCACAAACCACAACGCCCACAAGGATCATAGTCTGGTGAATAGCTGATAAGAATACACCTGACATTTCCCAAGAAAATGTTAATGTTTCTGGAAACCAAAGCATCCCTGGTAAAGCCAACATAACTCCCTGTGGCTTCCTTTTCAAATATCTGTCATCAAATAGGTAAATCCAAGAGACAAGGATTACTCTGTTGCCCTTGCAAAAAGATTCAGGAAGTACAGAGCCAACATCCTGCTTTGGCATTGAAGATGAGACCAGAGAGCCAAAAGTGCCCAGAGTAATTAGTTTAACTCTTTTAATTCTTACAGTTTTTGTGTTTAGGTGTGTAAATTACCTCTCCGGCGTAGTGCTTTATGCCAAACTGGTGGTCGGTCACACGAGGTTTCACATAATAATGATTAGCCTGTGGAAACAGATAAAGAGTGTTGTAGATTACACAAATTTAGTTAAAATCATCCTGTGACACAAGGTCATAGACAGTTGAATTACTGTAAGTGATCCATTTAGTTGCGTGACCAGCCAGTCCCTTCTACATTCTGCTCGAATCCAGATGGGACATGTCAGGTTACAGGATAAGTTTACACACATTTAAGGATATAAAGTAGTGGAGTGTGCATGAATGTAGCTGTGGCTATAACAGTATCTTATAGAGATGTAACAATAACTGAAATATTGTGTTATTGTATCGTCAAAGTTCTCGCAATAATATCATGGACCATCACAATATATCAAATGACAAGTCTCTTTGCGTAAATTAAGAGTTATGGTGCAGCAATAGCTAAAAAAAAAAGACAGAGGGAACTACATAGACCATGATCCTTTGCTCCATTTCAGTGCAAACTATAAGAAGAAATAACAGTTCTAAGCACTTTTAAGTCTTAGTTCTTTGAATTAAGTCTTGTCAAGGCATTTAAAGAGGAAAAAGTAGCATATTCACAGTTTTATGTCCCCAAAATATTGCAATAAATATCATACCGTGAGATGTATATCGTGAAAATGTCGTACTGAGAGATTTGGATATTGTTACATCCCTAATAGTGAGCCTCCCCACCATATCGTGTGCTTTCCCACGATATTGTAATAAATATCGTAGCGTGAGATTCATACCGTGATGATATTGTATCGTGAGGCTTGGATATAGTTACATCCCTAGTATCTTATCACCATAGAGTGTGGAGTGAATGAGTAATGCTGTGAAAGGCGCTACGTAAATGCAATGATTAATGAATGAATTAATTAAATGTGACAGATACCACTCCATTAAATGTAATACTTCTAATAGCTTCTTCCCACAAACTATCATAAGCTTGAAGAATGCACTTTAAACTGACATAGCACTTTAATATTTTAGCTCCTTTATCTTTGTATTTTGTAACTAACCTAAATTAACACAGACATTTCTAAACAAAAATGCCACTATGGGGTCTTCCATTTCTGCAGTTTTTGTGTTGTACTTCTTTCAGACATGTTTAACACACCAAGCCTGCATATTTAGATTGAGTTCTTCTCTCAAACTGAAAACACTCTGTTTTACCTTGTGATGTCATGTGGTAATACAGGAAGTGCTCCGTACAACTTCAATAGAATCATTTGGATAGTTTCAGACCTGTAATTGCCCATCTCTACTGAACTAAAGGTAAAAGGAGCTGTTAATATTGTGAAATAAATTACTATTTACTTCACAATAAAAATGACATACTTTTCCAACCACAGTACCTCCAGCTTTGATAGTTGAAGCTTACATATTTTAACGACGAAAGTGTACTACTAACTAAGTGTATTCTATAAGGATGTAATGATATCCAAGTCTTATGATACGATACTGTCAGGGTAAGAACCTCACGGTATGATATTTATTGTGATATCATGGGGAATCTTACGATTAGGGATGTAACACTATCCAAATCTCTTGGTACAATATTTTTATTGCGATATTTTGTGGAGGCAAAACTGTGAATATGCTGCTTTTTCCTCTTAAAATGCCTTGACAAGACTTAGCCCAAAGAACTAAGACCTAAAAGTGTTTAGAAATGTTATTTCTTCTTGTAGTCTGCACTGAAATGGAGCAAAGGATCATGGTCTATGTAGTTCCCTCTGTCTTTTTTTAGCTATTGCTGCACCATAACTCTTAATTTAAGCAAAGAGACTTGTAATTCGATATATTGTGAGAGTCCGCCATATTATTGTGAGAGCTTTGACGATACGATCTCACAATATTTCAGTTATTGTTACATCCCTAGTATTCTACTGCACATTCTGTATTCTATGGGGATTCTTTACATGGTCGGCATGTGTATTTTTCTCTTTAAATCTGTCATTGCACCACACATGGCTCCCAGACACTTAAAGGTCAAGTAGCTCTTATATGCCCCTTTAAATCGCTCCTGTTTCTGTCAGTCATGGCCCTGTCTGGTTTTCTCCACACCTCCTTTTCTCCGCCGCACAAAGCTGATCAGGAGCACGGTGCACGATCACGTTTCACTATTGTTGTGAATGTTTGTGTGAGGACTCAGACTGCGAACGTAACACCAGTCAGCGATTCACAAAAGTACAGCAGGTTTAAGTCTGTCAGACTGTCTACGGCTCTGAAGGATTTTCTTTCATGGGACTTAAACGTGCACTCTGTAACTTTCCTGGTAAGAGTCCAGCTCCCAGTTGTGTCCATGGAGATATACTAGGGAGATAGCTTTACCGGAAATGTACCACAGTATTAAAGGTGCGTTAACTTTTTTGCTGGGGTCCATCACCTGCTTGTTTCTGTGGATATGTCATTTCTCTGCTTAGAATGTTCCACAGTATGACATTAAACTAGAGATCGAATTACATGTTTCTTTGCTCAAATGCATGGTTTTATAGTAGTAAAAGCTTATAAACATCGGGAACTACATATCCCATGATTCATTTCAGTGCAGACAACATGAAGAAATATGTTTTTGACTTGAATTCTTGGGATTATGACCAAAATAATTCACACCAACATCTTGTCAAGGTATTTTAAAAGCAAAAAAGTGTCCCCTCTACAATTATTTAAGCCTCTCCAAAATATCGTAATAATATCATACCAAGAGATTTGGATATTGTTACATCTCTAGTCCAAATCTGTCGGTACAATGTTATCATGATATGCATCTCACGGTACAATATTTATTCCGATATTTTGGAGAGGGTGATATACTTGTAGACAGGACACTCCTTTGCTTTTAAAATACCATGACAGGATTTTAGTGTGAATTATTTCTGTCATAATCCCAAGAATTCAAGTCAAAAACATATCTCTTCATGTTGTCTCCACTGAAATGAATCATGGGATATGTAGTTCCCTATGTTTATAAGATAGTGCTTCTATAAAACCATGCATTTAAGCAAAGGAACTTGTAATCTGATATACTGTGAGATCTTTGACGATACGATATCACGATATTTCGGTTATTGTTACATCCCTACATTAAACTACTCTACCTTACATTTATTCATTTACAGGTGGTTTTATAGCTCAGAAATGCCTAGAAAAAACAGGCATTCTGACTGTGAGCGGGGCGGCCTCTCCGTAGATCTGACCTGTAACTTCACCTGTAGTTTGGTCTCCATGAAGATAGAAAGGTTTAATAGCATACTGTGAAACATTCCAGACAAAGCAATAAAATTTACATGGAGAAAATCAATTGCAGGACCCTCCACCAGAAAAGTTACACAATGCACCTTTAAACTTGCTTATTGTTTAATTATAGGTGTTTTTACAATAAAACAATACCTTGAAAAACATATATTCTATGGTAAGTGTGCCCACCTTGCCACAAATTGGACCTGATGCTTGTCTCTACGTAAATAGGTGAGTTTAATATCATACCGTGAAAGACTCCAGGCAAAGCAACAACATCTCCATGGTGGCGGACGCTCCACCCAGAAAGTTACACAGTGCATCTTAAAGCGACTTGAGTAAAGGTTATACAGGGTATGTTTAGGTCTTATGTCTGTCTGGAAACATGTGTGTGATGTGCGTGAGTGGGCAGAGGACATTAGAGAGTGACTGGTGCTACATATTTGAGGATTTAAGCTGTGGAAGATAAGGTCAAGAAGTTAAAAGTGATTAGCTGCTTAAAGGGCCCATGTTGCGCTATTTTCTGACCTATGTTATAATGTTGGTTCCTCATCAAAAACATACCCGGTGAGGCTGTGCAAATAATCAAATTCTGATCGCAATTTCAATTTGTGTATCAGACGATCTCCAAACTTATATAACTGAGTTTTGAGAACAGCTGTATATAGTTTATTTTGGATACATTTTTTGTTTTTCTATGCTTTATTCATGTTCAAAGTATATTTTATACATTTTATGTTTTATATATCACAAAACTGCTCTAAGATTCATATTTGTAGCCTGAATTTATTATTACGTTTTGTGTAAATTATCAATAACAAAGTGTTTTTTTAGAGAGAAATGCTGAATAATGCACCGTGTAAATAAAAAATATAATATTGACCAAAATAATTGTGATCATGTTTTTTTCCATGATCGAGTAGCCCTAATAGATAGTAGAGGAAGTGACTGTGCTACTTAAAGGACCCATATTATGCCATATTACACTGCCTTTAAAGCTGTAATAATAGTTTTCTCATCAAAAACATTCCCGGAGTTGTGTTTTCTTTCATTCACTTGATTAACACATGATTAATAGGTGCGTTAGGTGGTTTAAAGGTGCATGAGTTGGTAGGTGTTTTGCCTAAGGACACAATCGCATTATGATTGAAAAGGTTGGTGATTAGGATCCAACCAGACTGTAAACATCCTGTGGCACAAGGTCATAGACAGTTGAATTACTGTAAGTGATCCATTTAGTTGCATGACGAGCCAGTCCGTTCTACATTCTGCTCGAATCCAGCAGAGACATGTAAAGTTACAGGTTAAGTTTACACACATTTAAGGTTATAAAGTAGTGGAGTGTGCGCGAATGCAGCTGTGGCTACAACGGTATCTTATAGGGATGTAACAATAACTGAAATATCGTGATATCGAATCATCGAAGTTCACAATAACATCGTGAAGCATCATAATATATCGAATTACAAATCTCTTTGCTTAAATTAAGAGTTATGGTGCAGCAATAGCTATAAATAGACAGAGGGAACTACATAGACCATGATCCTTTGCTCAATTTCAGTGCAAACTACATGAAGAAATAACAGTTCTAAGCACTTTTAAGTCTTAGTTCTTTGGGTTAAGACTTGTCAAGGCATTTTAAGAGGAAGAAGAAGCACATTCACAGTTTTGCCTCCACAAAACATCGCAATAAATATCGTACTATGAGATGTATATGTTGTGTTTTGTTTTATTCACGTGATTAATAACACACATCCTGAATTAGGTGCATTAGGTGGAAGGTGTTTTGCCCAGGGACACAATCACATTATGACTGAAAATGTTGGTGATTAGATCCAACCAGACTGTAAACAGGTTCATCCAACTTACACAATAGTTTTTAATAAATACATACTATAAAAATGACAACATGATTTATTTTTGTTACAATAATGTTCAAACTGGCCAAAAAATATCCTTTTATGTAAATTGCAATCTCCAAAGCTCAAAATGCTCTGTTCCAGCTCTGTTAACAGCTACCTTTTACGTTTTGTTTAGTAGAGATTGTCAATTCCAGGGCTGAAATTATCCAAATGATTCTAGTAAAGGTGTATGGAGTTTAAAAACACAGTGGAACATTTACTGTATTGGCGTTTTCAGTTTGAGAAGAACTCAGCCTGAAAATGCCGGATGTGTTGTGTGTTAAACACGTGTGAATGAAACAAAACACAACTCCAGATATGTTTTTTTGGTGAGGAAACTCTTACAACAGATTTAAAAAGAGCGTAATATGGGCAGCACAGTCACTTCCTCTACTATATTTGGCAAACTGTAAACATAATGAAGGGACCTACTGCGTGGCGGCTGTGTAGTTTCTCCAGGAGGGTGTAGTCCGTGCCTTTGGGGAATCGGCTCTCCTCATTAATAAGTGCCAACATGCCCAGTTTCTAAAAAAGACACAGAGAAAAACGCATTAGCTGGAACTCACCACAGTCATGACCAAACTAGTTACAAACACATTGGGGAACATCTGGCTCCATTGATTACAACAATAGCTCTAAACATCGTGATCCTGTCTGTGGTCTCACAACAAAAGGGCTAAAACAAAAGGAGGTGCTGTTTTTGGATAGATCTTATTTCCAGAGTCACGCCAAGGCGGATTCAATGTCATTTTTATGGGCACCTCAGGGCATACAGAGGGCATATAGGGCCAAATGCCAAATCTATCTTTGTAACAATTCCAGAAATATGGGCACAGAGATCATTAACGTGCCTGAGGAAAGATGGCTTACAGTTCAGAGGAGGAGAAAAAAACTTACCAACTACCAAATTTCACGAGTATGTATGTATTTAGGCCTCTCTTGATAACATATTTTGAAGCGAGATATATTGCTACAGAGAAATATCACAATAAACAATAATACTGAAACTTCTTTTTGACACTGACATAATAAAAAAATAAAGCAGGCTATTCCCAGAAAAACTTTTTTTCTCGAAGTGACTTTTTCATCTCTCTACAGCTTAAATCCAACCATACAAAAATCTCCAAAAGTATTGCAACAAAAATATGCACATAATAAATACTGTGCCCCAGAATATGTTGTTCCAGCTTTCATTATTGTGACAGACCTATATGTACACTGCCGGTCAAAGGTTTTAGAAAACCCAAATTTTTCCAGTTATTTATTGCAATTCAAGTCGTGCAAGTCCAATGAATACTGAACAGCCAGAGGTTAAAATAAAGAAAAAAGATAAAAGATACATAACACAAGTCCAAGCTCTGCCAAAACTACCTCAGGAAAAAATAACAAGATGGTAAACTTGAAAACATGGAGTGTCCAGCACAGTCTCCAGACTTAAACCCCATCGAGCTGATTTGGGATGAACTGGACAGAAGAGTGAAAGACAAACAACCTACAAGTGTCACACATTTATGAAAACTTCTGCAACAGACTTGGGAAGAACTTTCTGAAGAATATTTGATTTCTATTGTAAAAAGAACGAGCCACGAGTGTGTTCAGCTGTTACATCTGTCAAAGGTGGACACTTTCATGAATCAAAAGTTTAGAATATGTTTTGGTCAACAGTAAAACTAGTAAAAACTGGAAAAAGTGTGGTGCTCTAAAACTTTTGACGGTAGTGTATTTATACTGAACAAATTAATATTTGTTGACTCTGTGTCTGTAATGCCGTAGTGGAACTTAACTTAAGTACAAGTAGTCCTGTGCTTAAATATAAATTTTAGGTATCTGTGCGGTTTATTATTATTTTTATTCAGCACAAAATCAATACATTTGAAGCTTTATTAGATCTCAAAATCTGTGCAAAATACTTTAACTTTACTATTCTTTAAGAACATTTTTAAACGGGTACTTTAATACTTTTACGTAGATTTTTCATGTGATTTTTACTATTACTTGAGTTTTTTTTTTTTGCTTGAGTGTCTATACTTTTACTTGAGCGGCAAAATTGAGTACTTCTTCCACCACTGCTGTAATGTAATGTCTTTCTTAAAAGATAACACTACAAATTTTGTTTTATAGAAAGCATAGTCTAATCTTGCATATCTATTTTTATCTTGCAGCCAATACATGTGGAAGATTTCTGGTTCAAGCCCTGACTTTGTCCTTTACTTCACCGGACTTGGCAGAACTCTTCACTCTCCAAGAACTTCTGGTTAACTTAATTGGTTTCATTTACATCATAATTGTTTAATGTCCACAAGATCAAGAAAGTATCCCTTTAGCGAGAATATTTTGGTGTTGTGTTTTGATTGAATTCGATCTTGTATTTCAGTTCAGTTCAAGCCACCTCCACTAAGGTTAAGCTTATTATAACCACTGATAAAATAACATAAATTGTCTTCATGCCCGACCTCCAACCGCACGCTGGTGTCTATTACTGTGCACACAACATGGGAAACGTAATTCCATAATGATAGGCCTGGAGAATGCATGCTAATGTAAACAGTGCCGGGCGTCTCGGTCAGAATGCTCGGTGGTTAGTGGTGCAGACCTGGTGGGGACTGGGCTAGCGTTACCTTCTCAATGAGATCCAGACACTCGGCATTGTCCATCCAGTCTATAGCCTCCCACTGAATGCCCTCCCTAAGAAAGGACAGAGAGCGTAAATAAAAACAGCTCAGAGGACACAAAGGGTGAATTGTCTAAATAGAACATGTGATTAAATGAGCCGTATCCATGCTGCTGGCTCCCTTGTACACCAAAACAACTGTCTGAGGGAGAAACAGAGCGGAGTCCAAACTACTGGCCCGCTGCCTGTAGTTGTAGTGGAGAGGAGACATATCAGTCTGCACATAAAGTCTTGATTTATTTTGGAGTCCATCTGAGACCCAGACTGTATTATTATTCATGGACGCAAAATCACATCTGAAATCTGAGGGGTTTTCTATCCTGAATGCGCTCCAGGAAAACAAAGTTACCTTCATATCAAGAAAACGTATGAATAACGTGGGACTTTGTTGCATTATTGTTATCAAATCTATGATACTGCACCTAGAACGGTCAGCTAACTTCACAGACCTTTTTCACAACGGCCAGAAGTGCCATGATGTAGGGTAAACGTGACTTAAACTTTTCTATGGCAAAATATCTGTGGAAATGTCTCGAGAATTCTCCACCAGCTTCATAAATCTGCCCCATCACCAAATCTTTATCCAACAACGTCGACAAAGGACATATTCAGTCCAATTAAGAATTTATCCACAACTATCAAGGTAAGAAAGACGAAAACGTAAATGCAAACAACGATGACGCATTAGTGAACTACTCCTGAGCAAAACTAATATTATGGTCATGAATAAAACATAAATAGTATATAATTTGTTAATAAGTCACTTGTGAATTCAGACTGATTGTAGAATTAATATTAAAAATCAATTTCATAAGACATAAGACACAGACAGACATAAGATTTCTCTTGTTTCTGCTCCTTTTCTTTCATTTCTTGTATGTCTGATGTTGTGATACTCTCGATGTCTTTTTATACTTTATGAATGAAATTTAAAAAATTAAATAAAAAAAAATTCTTGATGTCTATATTAGTATAGACAGAGAGATTTGTGCAGTTCGAATGTTACAGATGTTCACAGATTACATGTCTCACATTTAAACTGCACAAATCTCTCTGTCTATGCAAATATCTACATCATGAAGTTGATTTTTTATTTTAATCGTAGAATCAGTCTGAGTAAGATACTTATGTTTTATTCATGACCATAATGTGACTTTTGCTCAGGAGTAGTTGTTCACCTTCACGTTTTCGTCTTTCTTACCTTGATAGTTGTGGATAAATTCTTCATGGACAGAATATGTCCTTTGTCGGCCTTGTTGGATGAAGATTTGGTGATGGGGCAAATTTATGAGATTTATGAAGCTGGTGGAAAATACGTGAGACATTTTCACTGATATTTTGCCATAGAAAAGCATTAACGTAAGTGACGTTTACCGTATATGGTGGCACTTCCGGCTGTTGTGAAAAATATCTTCGCAATGTGAGTTTTTAATAGTGTTGTCATGATACTCAAACTTCAGACTTGATTTCAATACTAAGGAATAGACTCAACACAATACTGATACTAATACTACAATGATCATTTGAAAAAACACAATTTCTTTAGACAACAGAATGTGATTTTCAACATTAAATAATATTACTTTCGTTTATATTACTATGTAATATAAATCGGTTATATCTGTGTATACTAGTCTGTGTGCTCTTATATTTGTTCTGATACAGCTCAAGACAAGTTCAGGAAAGGTTCATTTCTGTCCTGTGAATGTGACTTTTCTAGTATCAATACTTGCTCAAATGAGTATCTAGTTTCGAGACAAGTTTTAGCATCGATTAGTATCATATTTTCGATATTTTTGACAACTCTAGTCTGGAATCTCCTATTATGATTCCTTTAATACAGAGATAAAACCACTGCTCAATTTAATTTGTGACCTATTAGAGAACATTTTTCAGAATGATGAAAACTTAAGACTGTTGCCATAGTGATTAACAACAGAAAAACTTTTCAATGGGAAAAAGTCCTGAAAATCTTGAGAGAGAAAGCTGAAACCGGTTAATATACAGTACAGTCCCATTAGGAGAAATGTAAGAGTTCCCATAATATTTTGATTTAAAGCTTGTTTTTATGGGGCTCAGATTTTACAGCCTTCATCACCTGTTGTACTCCAACTGCTCCAGGGAGAAAATGTGCTTATTGAAATACTCCTGAAGTTTCTCATTGGCGTAGTTGATGTTAAACTGTTCAAACCTGTTAACCTGCAAGGCACAAGAGAAACAATACTTCAGTTCAGCACAAAATGTATAGATTCATTTTTAACAGACGTTTTTCGTACCTCAAAATTCTCAAAACCAAAAATGTCCAGGATGCCAATGGACTTGAAGTTTTCTTTTCCTTTTATCTTCTGGTTGATCCGCATGATGATCCAGGAGAAACACTGGGAATAAAGTGCCATGGCAACCGAGTCCCTGGAGTCTACAGCCTGAAAAGACAAGAGGAGATCAAAAAACTGTATATAAAAATGGACATATTCACTCCATTTTCACTTTACGCTGGAAAATTGTCACCCTTCTCTGTAACTGCTGCAGTGAGCCTCGTCATTTGGTCTTAAAATGTTCATATTAACCTTCTCTACATGATCCTGGGGCTTTCATTTCGCTATTTTATCTGTAAATATTTCTATTCCTAATCTGAACCTGGCTCCAAATTCGCTCCTATAACTGCTAGCCTTGTGAGCTTCATTTGACTGGAGTCGAACGATATGGACAGCGGAGTCAAAGGGAAGGACAAAGGGGTCTATTCTGCCCTACAAAAGGAAAACAGACCTTAACTCGCCAGAGTGTGAAACCGAAAAAATGACTTAAAAGTTTCTGTTTTGTCCAGATAAAAATATAATAGGCAGGGCTTCCAAAATTTGACAACTAGTTGCTACAATGAACACCTCACCAAGGTCAAGTCATCATGGTGTTTGTCTGAAATGATACAGAAGAGCTTTGGATTTCCTGTTTAGTGCTGATCAGGATCGTGCAGCGACACTGATACAGTTAAACAGTTTGACAGACAAGTTACTTTGCAGTACAGTGTGTACAGTATGAATAAATACACCAAATACTTTCACATTAAAGATCATTTAAGTATAATTGAAAACAAAGGTATAATTATTTACTGTGTTAAGACTCTGTGCCAAAAAGAAGGAGGCGAGAGGTTGGATCTTGAAATAAAATATATTTATGAACTAAATCACAAACAAAACATACACTGTTACTGCCTTTTGCCTTTGCACGACTCTTTATTTTTGGCTCATGATACAAAGGCAGAGTACAGGAACTGCCAAATAAGGAACAAAGGTCAATTTTGAGCTCAATATTTTTCACGATATTTATTCATATGATAAATGAGGTCTCAAATACCCTCAAAATGGCATGAACTCTCACTTTGTAGGGCTGTATTGTCCCGGGTCACCAGAATTGGAACATAGAACTGGAACCTCTGCATATTTTTTAAGGTTAGAGAGGGGCCCATGTGAGTCTTCTTGCCCCAGGCCCCCAGATTTCTGTAGATGTGCTGGCTCTGGGTGGCGTCACGCTCCCTCAGCCCATTTATTTATACTGTCTAAGAAGGAGATGAGCATTACCATAGATACCAGCTCACCATAAACAGTCTAGGCATTCGCAGCATGTATCCACAACACTGCATACCGTGTACATATTTGATGGTAGATAAGGTGTGGCGTTGATTTTTGCGGTTGGAGTGTGTTATGTCAGCATCGGTCTGCAGGTACGGCACAATAGAACAATGAGGAACCCCACACAGACTCCAGGAAAAACACAGGCACGTCACTGGGTTCCATAAATCTGACCTCTGAAGATTATTGCTCTGAGTTTAGATGACAACTCCTGACATAAATCTCGAGGGGATATTCGGTACAATACAACAATAAAACGCTGCAAGCCAAATCTAGATTTAGGGTGTTCTTATTAAGGGCGAAGAGAGGTAAAACTATGCTGTCAGTATGTATCAGTGATGTGGATCTAGAGGCTAAAAAAACTGTGAAAATGCTGCTTTTTTCTTGACAAGCCTTTGGTTCAGTCATAAATCAAACTATTAAGACTCAAAAGTGATTATTTCCTCTTGTAGTCTGCACTGAAACAAGACAAAAGTGTATGCACGATCTACTAGCGTGCATGTAGTTTCTTCTGTTTTTAATTATTGTTGCACCATAACAATGAATTTAAGCAAAGAAACTTGTGATTCGTTTTATTGTGATGGCCTCTGGTATTATTCTGAGACTTTTAACGATTCTGTTATTGTTACATCCCTAGTATGTACGGCAGAGGTCATGACTTGGACTCGAGTCAGACTTGAGTCACTATTTTTATGATTTGAAACTTGACTTCATAAAATGGACTAAGACTTGGGACTCAACTCAGACTTATAGGTGGATGACTTGGGGCTTGACTGGGACTTGAACCCTGTGACTTGAAGACTTGATACTTTTCCTAAAAATATATGTTTTTAAAAATGCTTTTTTCTTTACATTTGATACATGCTGTGCTTAATATGTGCTGGAATATGTCCCTCCCACTTCTCTGTTTGTTACTTTGGATGTAACTGAAGTACTGTGATGTGGTATCGTCAAATGTACTACAATAATATACAGTACAACACAGTAAAACAGAGGGAAGTACATAGAACATGATCCTTCAATTTCAGAGACATGACAAAAGAACTGATATGTAGCGCTGTTAAATCTGAATAATTTCTATTCTGACTGCAATGATTCACACCAAGATTTTGACAAGGCATTTAAAAAGGAAAAATTTACATTTCTACAACTCTTATATAAATGCTCAAACATAAAAATGACATTTTAAGTACAATTTAGTTTAAAATTTAGATAAATTTGAAAAAATCTAAGCTATATTTGGTATTTTGGTTTAAAGACTTGAAATGACTTGAAGCTCAAAGCAGACGACTTGGACTTGACTTGGACTTATGGGCCAGTGACTCGAGACTCGACTTGGACTTGCCTGTACTTGACTTGACTTGGTCAAAGACTTGAGACTCACTTGAGACTTGCAAAACAACGACTTGGTCCCACCTCTGATGTACATTATGGGTTATAAAATGCCCTTATTTCATCAGTCATTTAAAATATTTCATATGTTTGATGTTATGTGATCATTTATAAACATACCAGGGGAAAGTGCACTGTGTAACTTTTCTGGTGAAGGTCCATCAGATGCTTTGTTTCACAGTATGGCATTAAAAATTTCTATCTTCACGGCAATCAAACCAGACCAAGTTACTGTGGGGATGACTGTTTATCGTGGTATTTTTGAGCTATAAAACCATCTGTAATTGAAAAATGTAAGGTCGAGCTGTTTAATGTCACACTGTGGAACATTCCAGGCAGAGCAATGATCTATCTATACAAACAAGCAGGTGACAGATCCCCAGTCAAACATGTACTTATGCAATTTTAAACATAGTCAAAGTAGAGGCCTGTCTCATATCTTCAGGCAAACTGTTCCATATTTTAGCTGCATAAAACTGAAATGGACTTAAGCACTTCTAATAGATCAGAGAAACAAACATAACTTCCAGCTGGACCCAGGTATTATTTCACCGTCTGCCATTAGCCTTTCAACCAAGCACCATCTGTGTGTGTCTAAATATATATAAAACTTAAGCTTGCCAGCTCAGCTTCCTTACGGGCATTGTGCTCCAAATGAAAACAAAACATGAGCGTGGCAGATTGTACTGTACAGGGGGCAACAATACTCCTGGGTTTTTTCACAGACATCAATCACTCTTAGCAGTCACCACTTGGAAACTTAGTGAGTGTGAACCAAACGCCAGTGGCTCCAGGATAGTCCGAAGAATGGCCATTTGTGCGTAGTGGGGGTAGAGGGGGGGGCGGGTAGACAGCGGGCGATACAGGATGGGTGACCTTTGACCCTGGCAGAGGAATTCTTACAGACTCCAACAAGAGAAATAATGTGCTCTGAGAAGCGACAAGCTGCTTCAAAGACCACAGCTCAGGGTCTTTGTCCAGTCATGAGAAGCTCACTTGTTTGTTTTGATGTCATCTACAGTCATAGTATTTCACTGTAATTTATGCAAATGAGTGGGTTTATGGAACTAGGCCAGTGTGCGTCATTTATGGATTACGTGGGATATTTGGAGGAAAAAGATAGAAAGTTCGAGCAGTGTGTTAAGACGTTGTAGCCAGGCTGGCGCCACCTAGTGCCTTTCCTCATTTTCATTTCGCTCCACCAACTAGGTCAGGAATCGGAATACACTAGACAGTTCGCAAAAACCCTGGAAGTTGTAGACCACGCACGGGCCAATCAGCAAAGAGCCATGACGTCAAACTCAAGTCCCTTTTGTGGTACAGCACAACAGTAAACAAAGCGGTCGAGATGGATGTAGACGAAGACATACATTCTGTGTTGGCAACGATTCCCAAGATCGAGGATTTAAAGCCAGAACAAAGAGAATGTTTGGTGAATTTTATCAAGAGGAAAGACATTATTTCCCTTCTTTCTACGGGATTTGGCACATTACATACGTCACGACCAAATAGCAGAGATTGGTTAAATAAAAAAAGTACCCACCTACCGTCGAGTGAATGAATCCTAATGCTGCGAGGTCAGGCTGATGAATTAGGCTAAAGATTTTTTTTCAGTATTATTTCATTGAGAATTTACATTTTATTTGCTGATTTGAATGTGAAACAACAGCTTAATGAGCAATTTAAAACATTTTATTGTATTTTTAAAGGTCCCATACTGTGCTATTTTCTGATCCATGTTATAATGTTGTTTCCTCATCACAAACATACCTGTAGTTGCATTTTGTTCTATTCACGTGTTTAACACAAATGCAAATGTCGGCTCTCAAACTCAAACTTGTGATGTCTACCTTGTGATGGCACGTGGCAATACAGGAAGTGCACTGCGTTTTTAAACTCCATACACCTTCACTAGAATTATTGAATTATTGATGATTTCAGCCCTGAAATTATCTATCTCCACTGAACAAAGGGTAAAAGGTAGCTGTTAACTTGAAAACTACCACTTCATGATATCACAAGGTAGAACAGAGCATTTCGAGCTTTGGAAACATAGACAGACTAATAATAAAGGATTAATAACCCTGGGTATGTTTTTTAGGAAGTGACATGACTTAAAGCTCAGTTTTGCGTGATGTAAGACCTTTAAGATATGTTGCTGGCATCAAAAAGTGGTAAAACTTCTTGCTCATGAATAAAACATGCCTGATTTACGCTGGTGCCTGTCTGTGCTGCCTCCAGTGGCTGCAGCTTTCACTTCATCCACACTCACTGGTTTTGTATTGTGCTTTCTGATTCAGATCTCTATCACGATGGCTTTATTGTGCCTGGATTCTGGCAGACAAAAAGCAGGAAATGGCCGGGAGTCACGCAAGGGATCTGGAGCTGCATGTAGGGGGGTTGTATGTATGTGTGTGCGTGTGTGTTTGTGCCTGTCACCCGGACCAGCCAGGGATAGGGGCACCAAACAGACTCCTACTGTGTTCGGGAGTTGTCGATTCTTGTGACAAATGAACGGTGGAGAGGGCAGATCTTTGCAGAAATGTCTCTAGTGTAAAGCCAAGGGTGACAAATTTACTTCTGTCAGCTGCTGGTTTGACAATCTCTAAACATGAGCTTGTGCTAATCCCGCTACTAGGTATTATTTCCATTCTTGCAAGTCCCAAATGCTAACAGCTGAAAAACGTGCTTAACAATGCTGTAGTTAGGGGCAAGGGTTTAATATTGTTGTCATAAATCTGAACCAGTGTGGAATCTGTGAACACCTGCTGGCTATTATTTTTAAATATGGTATAAAATAGAGTCTAATCTTGTTAGCGTCTTAGCTTGAAGTTATTATTTTAAGATTTGGGGGAAAATACAGTAAACAAACTGTTTAAGTCAAAAAGATAACAGGGCTGGTTTGTGTTTCTTGTTAGTAAAAATCTTTCTGATTGGCCCAGGGTGGAAGCCAATGAAAAAGTCAAAAAGTGACTTGGGCAGTGATTCAATGAAGCCGGTAAAATATTTAATTAATTGCATTTAGGAAAATAATTCACTGGGCTTTCTCTGTTTAGAGCTCAACAGTGAACACCAAGCCTCCGATTCTGGAACAAAATTTCCCATACATTTTTCTCATACACTTGGCATCATATTCACAAAATAAGAAAATGTCTAACAAATGCTGACCCCACAAACAAATGCTAACAAATTTGAGGTTGAACATTTCTATTTTCCAATGATGATCTATTAGTAGACCTTCATTTTAATAATTAATACATATATATACACAGGGCCAAGCTCAAACCAATGCTTCAAGACACACGGGTCTGGAACTGTATTAGTGTCTCCATTTCTGAGTTGACTGACAGGTGGATTAACCAACCAAACTGTCAGTTTGTGTCAAAACAAAACAAAACGTGGGAAACTGGGAAACTGCTGACTTCTGTTCACCCAACAAGTGATGCACTTAACACTTATGTATCTAAGGTAAAATAAGTACTGGTCATTTTTAAACTCCGAATGATACAAGATTCAAGCGGAGATTCTGTACTATATATAAGTGGCTCCGATTGGACTGTTTCAAATAAAGGCAGTTATTTGTCACTCGAGGTATGATGTAAAATGTTGGTAGAGCATGTTTAGAATAGAACAGAATAGAATAGAAAGCCTTTATTGTCATTATACAATAGTATAATGAAATTCAGAGCTTATTCTTTCATAATTTGTTATGAAACTATTTGTTTTATCGTTTCATAACATGTCTCCTTTACCTTATATTTAAATCTACATTACTCACTCAATGGGCTCTAGTGTAAATGGGCTATTATGATTACACATACACCTGCATGACCACAACAGTAATGACACACTGTACATGAGGTAATATATGAGATAACATGGAGGAGATCACAGAGACAGAGCTCCTTCGAAAAAAATTAATATTAAAAGTTCGAAAGCTTGCTCAGGGATTACTAATGACCACAAGACCTATAATTTTATTTTAAATCAGTTTTTTATGAACCAAACTTTATAAATCACAACATTAAAACATTTTGCAGAATCTTGCGTTTTAAATGTTTGTTTTTGGATTTAAAAGAACTGCATTATGGATATTAGTTACCACTCAGTGTCTTTGAACTCGTAATATTTGAATTTTTAAAAAGTCTATGGGGAAAAATGTAAGAAAAATTTACTTCCGGATCCAGAGCAAGCAGTCACTGATGAGCTCCGTCAGTGCAAACATTCTTTTAATACAGTAGACGCAGCTATGGGATTACATTTCATAGTCATTGTAATATTGCAGCTAGAAGTTTGTGCAAAAAGAGTCAAGCCTGAGGGGCAAAGAGTTTTTTTATGAATCACAAAGATAAAAACATTTGTCGTTACATTATTTGTGAAAGGGGAATACTGGGAATACTGTATTTCCTTATTCTGTGTCACTCCGTACCTGCTCTACGGTGAGTGGGGAGCAGATCTCCTCTCCTCTGAGAATCATGGAGCGCTGGGTCAACACCTCTGACAGCTGGAACGAGTCCAAACCAAGCAGCTCGCTCACATTGTTCACCACTGGAACACACAGTCACACAAATGTATAATGTATGTAGAACATGTACAACAAACAAGACGGCGACACAGTTCAGGTGATTTGTACAGGTTACGTGATCCTATACGGTTTAAAGTATGTGGGACAGGTTGTTCTACACTTTTACCTAAATACAGTTAAAGATACATTCTGTAACTTTTCTGATTTGGGGTTTGTTTCACTTGTTTCTATGGATACATCATTGCTTTGCCTAGAACGTTATACAGTATGACATCAAACAGCTCTATCTTACATTTATTGATTGGTTTTATAGCTCAAAAATACCTAAAAAAACAAGTGTTATGACTATGCGGGGTTGTCTTTCCACAGATCTGACCTGTAACTTGGTCTGGTTTGGTCTCCATGAAGATAGAAGGTTTAATATCGCACTGTGAAATATTCCAGACAAACTAATAACATCCTGACAAAGTAAAGTATGTGACAGATCCTTCACCAGAAGAGTTACACCAAGCACCTTTAAGATTTAACAAAATATTTTACACTTTCTTTCAAAGTGTCGCGATTTTTTTTATGTTTCAGTTCAGTGTAAATTATAACATGACACTAAGGAATTCCATAACCATCTGGAACACTGGGTCAAAACTCCTCTAATGTGCACAGAAATTATTATTTGACAAATAAATTGAAAATACCAACTGCTACGCTAAATCTTTTATTCCTTCTGCCATAAAACTTTTAAATGTAAAGTAAATTTGCAATTGTGTCACTGATGCACTGAGGTTTAAATGTATGGTGTGCTTTGTATGTATTTGATTTTCTTTTTTTTTTTTTATTTATTTATGGATTGTGCACGACCAGAGATGTGCGAACTGAATTGCTCTTTTGGATTAATAATGTTGTTGATTCATTGATTTCTTCGTAAACTGCTTCTCGACTGGTATAAAACTATAATTTATATTTACAACAGATATTATTATCCCACCAAATAAAATAAAAAATCCTCAAAACCTGTCATATGTACTTTAATGGAAACTAGGAGTCACTTTATACAAATACACGGCTACATTCTTTCATAATATACTCCACATAACTGTACAGCAACTTACCTTTATGTCCTGTCAATCATTATATCATGTTTGAGCTGTTTTTCCTTCCTCCTCTTGCACATAACTGTGATATACTGTATTTATATTGCTATATTTCTACTTTTTACTTTACTGGTACACAAAAATTTACATAATTATGCCTTACTGATCAGCCTCTTGCTATTTTTGTTGCTTATTTTGAATTTCTTCTTACTATTTATATTTTTTCTCATTGCAGTTATATTTTCTGTGATGTGTGAGCTACTGTGTCCACATAATTCCCCTTGTGGATTAATAAAGTACGTCTAAGTCTAAGTCTAAGTCTAAGTTTAGTTCAGCTGTGCGTTAGAAAAGGGGTCAGACTGAACAGACAAAGAAAGTAGAGCTCATGTTTCAGCCTGTTCACGGATTCGCTTGTGTGCGCGCAATGTCAATCAGGCCTAGGCACACACTGGCTGCACAGCTCCACAGCCCCACAAACCAAATATCCGTTTCAGTAAATAGTGGTTTTTGGCAATAAATTCCACGAGTCTAACCGCCAGTAACAAGCAGCTTCAAGGCTCCTATTATATGCTTTTAAGTTTCTAAATGCATCAAAACAACATATGGAAGCCTATCTCGAACTTTTCATTACGGCTGTTTCTATTGCTCAAAAATACAATAATAGAAGCGACTCTCCACAGATCTGAGCTGTCCCACTTGTGAGACATACTGTAGGTTCAGTCTATACTGTGGAACATTCTAGACAAAGCAATAACATTTCCATAGAGACAAGCAGGTGGCAGACTCTCCACTAGAAATATGTTATGTAGTGCACCTTATAGTGGTAGAGTACGTCATTTTTTTGGCAATAAATTCCTCATGCCCAACTGCCAGTAACAAGCAGCTTCAAGGCTCCTATTACAAGCTTTTAAGTTTGTACATGCATCAAAACAACTTGTGTACTATATGGAAGTGGTACTCAAAGTTTTCTTACTAAATAAAAGCTTTTTATATGAAGTACAAACAGTGCCAGGAGTAACATGTTATAAAAGTAACAAATTACTGTAATGCGTTGCTTTTTCCTGTAACTCAGTAACATAAGGCATTACAGGAAAAAATTTGTAATATTTTACTCGGTACAAATGTCAGTAATGTGCATCACAATGCATTTTTAACCTGGATTGAAGTGGTGGGTTTTTCGTTTTTCTTCATACAAATTTGCTAAAATCACCGCGATATCAGCAGCGGTGAAACACCATCGTTACGGTAGGAGGTTCTCTCAGGAGCGGTCCTAGATTCCAAGTGTTAGTCCAAGATTAGTCCTGGTTTAATCCAGGTTTAGTCCTGGTTCAGTCCTGGCCCAGTCCTGGTTCAGCCCTGGTTTAGTCCTCCTGGTTCAGTCCTCCTGGTTCAGTCAGTCCTCCTGGGTCAGTCCTGGTTTAGTCCTGGCTCAGTCTTTGGCATCTTCACTCGCTGATTGTTATTTGACAATCAGCAACAGTTTTTTAGTGAGAATGAATTAAAAGTGCTGCAATAGTCGTGTAACGCCTTATATTTTAAACACAGTAATATTGTAATGTAACAAATACATTTTAAATGACTGTAACAAGTAAATAAATAAATAACACATTACAGTTTTGAAGTAACCTGCCCAACAGTGAGTGCTACCACCTAAGATAATGTTTGGATTTCTGATTCCACCAGATATAAACACGGACTCCATCAGGCCTAAATTAGGGCTAAACCAGGTCTAAAATGAGACTAAAGAAACGGATAAAGTAGTTTTAAATAATGATAATGATTTAAATATTTAAATAATGATTTACCCAAAAAAGGAAAAACACATTCAAAGATTTGGCTCTAAACCAAAAAAATACTCAAACTGCAGAGGCCCCATGAGGCCACCAGGGGCAGTTTGAGAACACTTAAGCTATTGATACTTTGCAAATAGGCTCTGCACACGCTTACATCACAAACCAGGAAGACGTTTGGAAAGATGCAATTACAAGTTCCCAGGCCCAGGTTTCTTCATCTACATGTCATTGTAGTGTTCCATTATGTTCAGCTAATCAACACTTACGACTAGGAGTGTAACAATATCCAAGTCTCACGATACGATATCGTCACGGTATGAACCTCACGGTACGATATTAAGCGGTGCACTATTACAGTAAATGTCTTAACAGGACAGTACCTGCATAGTATGATTAATAAAACGTCCATTATATACCTGCATTAGTTGTGATCTGGGCCCCTCCAGCCGTCATGAACTCTATATTTCCCATTTGGAGAACAGCAGAAAGCAGCTTGAACACATCCCTGATCTCTTCCTCTGTAAACTCCATCACTTTGAGGGCTTCCTGTAACAGACAATACAAACAAATGCAGTTTAATATGTCAATATACTAGTAAATATGTTCTTCTCATGACTTAAAAGAGTGCTACTTACTCTCACCAACCTCTTCAGAGATATATTTTGTATTGCTATATCTCCACATTTTATTTTTTATTTTACATTTTTATAATTATACCTAGGGCTTTGCTTCATCAATCAGCTTCTCAAACCATGCATGGTTGTATCTGTATTTGTATTGTTATGTTGTTATGTGAACTGTTTGTGCAGGTTTGAGATAACTCACTAACTTAACTATGTAACAGTAACCGAAATATCGTGATATCGTATCGTCAAAGTTCTCACAATAATATCGTGGACCATCACAATATATCGAATTACAAGTCTCTTTGCTTAAATTAAGAGTTAGGGTGCAGCAATAGCTAAAAAATGACAGAGGGAACTACATAGATCATGATCCTTTGCTCCATTTCAGTGTAGACTACAAGAAGAAATAACAGTTCTAAGCACTTTTAAGTCTTAGTTCTTTGGATTAAGTCTTGTCAAGACATTTTAAGAGGAAAACATAGCGTAATATTGCAATAAATATCATACCGTGAGATGTATATCGTAAAAATATCGTACAGAGAGATTGTGAGCTTTCCCACAATATTACAATAAATATCGTACCGTGAAGTTCATATGTGATGATATTGTATCGTGAGACTTGGATATCTTTACACTCCTAATTATATCTTATTTGACACCATTCTCTAACTATTTTTGCCATTAGCTTTGAATTATATTTTTGCTCTTTGATATTATATTATATTATTTTATATTATATTATTATATTACTATATTACTATATTATCTATATTACTATATTACTATATTACTACATTACTATCTTTTATTTCTACTTGTACATATACATTTGTATAATTAAGCCTTATTTGAACCACTCTTCCAATTTTTGCAATTAATTTTGAATTTATGATTAACAATTACATTTTGGCTCTTTATTATTATTGGTTATATTGTGATGCGTAAGATACTGGATCCAAATAATTTCCCTTGCGGATCAATACAGTTTGTCTAACACCAACATACACTATAAAGTGTAATGGCGCCCTCTAGTGGTCTGCTAGAGTACATGCAGTCCTTACCATAACACTGTCAAAGAGTTGTTTGTCGTCCAGGCTGTTGTCCTGCACACAACCCGACTGACTCAAGTAATGATAGGCCTCAGCACCATCAGAAAGGAGGTACATATCTGTGAATACAAATATGAGGGATATAAGGTTTTTTTTAAAGGTGCACTGTGTGACTTTTTGGTTGGGGGTCCATCACCTGCTTGTTTCTACAAAGATGTCATTGCTCTGCCTGGAATGTTCCACAGTATGTCATTAAACAGCTCTACCTGACATTTATTCAATTACAGGTGGTTGCCTCTCCATAGATCTGACCTGTACCTTGGTCTAGTTTGGTCTCCATGAAGATAGAAATGTTTAATACCATACTGTGAAACATTCCAGAAGAGGTTAAAACATCTCCATGATGGACCCTCCACCAGAAAAGTTACACAATGCACCTTTAACTGCTTTAAAATATGTATCAACAAATAAAAACTCACCCCTGTGGTCTCTGTCAGCTCCAGCTAAAAGTGCATAGAAGATGTGGTAGTTTCTCTCCCCAGGATTCTGCCGCACTACTCGGTTCTGAAAAAAACACAGTTATATATTATAGTATTTTTCTTATTTTTTCATAACTCAACAATGAAAAATAATTACTACTAATATTAATACACATATTTTGTTACCTTTTCCAGCAAATCTGATTTTGTATGTCAAGGAAAATAATTAAAGTCATAAGGCACACTAATTAAATGTGCACCATGTAACGTTTTGGTTTAGGGTTAGACAGATACTCCACTACAAAAAATACACAATGCACATTTAACATACAGTAACTACAATATGATAAGATGGACTTGTGAAGGATATAATACAAATGAAAAATTGCATAGCACACTCAGATAGCCGATGTCCAAAACTTTTTTTTATTTTTAAATAACATTTCAGGAAAAAAAATTCTTTGTCAGATATTTTTCTTGCTTTGGACCACAGTTCCTGTCCAAGGCTTTTTTTGCCGAAACGTTATTTAAAAATAAAAAAAACCTTTTGGACATTGGCCATCTGAGTGTGTTATGCATTTTTTTTCACTTTTATTTTGCTATTCCTTACGTTTGCACCTCTACAAGAACTTTGGTTTGTGTTTTCTGTTTCACTTGTGAAGGATACAGTCGATGATGCAGCCTCCCTGGATATTTCCATTCTGGGAGAAGTTGAGTTGAATGAACTTCCCAAAACGACTGGAGTTATTGTTATACACAGTCTTTGCGTTTCCAAAAGCCTCCATGATAGGACTGTAGAAAAAGAATAAAAGAATGACATAAATATTAGTACAAAAAATATATATGGCTACGAGAAACATTACTAATTGTTTTGTTTAAGCACTGACCTGCTCTGGACCAGTGCCTGCTCCACTCGGGTGGTGCTCTCTGAAGGTGGAGTACCAAGTGAATACTGACTCATCACTGAGAGAAATTTAAGGAGCAGTTTGGTGCTTTCGGTCTTTCCTGCACCACTTTCACCACTGGAAAAAAAAAATCATAATAATAAAAGTTAAACTGTGACACTAGAAATGATGACTCTGTAACAATGCACTACTTGACGATACGACACGATATTTTGGTTATAGTTACATCCCTATCCATTATACATTTCCATGGACTTAAGACTCCATAAATTTGTATGATTTTATGTATTTAAACAAAACTAAAAAATTTAAATAACTCAAAAGTGTGAGAAAAATGTAGGATTTACACTGAGGAATGTAATAAATTTGTCTATACAAAGAACCCATAGTACACTATTTTCAGATCTATGTTATAATGCTGTTTCCTCATCAAAACATATCTGGAGTTGTGTTTTGTTTCATTCACACATTTAAACTTTAACACACAAACCCTGCATATTTAGGCTGATTTCTTCTATTCATGCACCTTCATTACAATCATTTGGATAATTTCAGCTCTGGAATTGCCAATGTCTACTAAAATAAACACAAAATGTAGCTATTAACTTGAAAACTACCACTTCATGAAGTCACAAGACGGAACAGAGCATTTTCAGATTTGGAGATGTAGACAGACTAATAATAAAGGATTACTCAAGCATGTGTGAGTGAGACAAGACAACAGGTCAGTTTTTGAGGAGGTAACAACATTATAACATGGCTTAAAGCTCACAAGAGTCAATTCTGCGTGATATAGGACCTTTAAACAGAAAAAAAGTGAAGAATGTAATAAATGTATAGTGGAAATATACAATGAGAGTTTGCAAATCTACCAAAACAAACTAAGCATCTTTGTGTTCTGACCTGATGAGGACACACTGGCTGTCATGCCTCTTCCACAGACAGCGGTAGCACTCGTTGGCGATAGCGAAGATGTGAGGAGGCAGTTCCCCCAACTGGTGTTTACTGTACAAGTCCACAGAGGCGCTGTCGTACAGGCCTCGGATCTGTTTGTATGGATTTACAGCTGCCAGGATGGAGCCAATATTGGTCTGACAAAAAAATGGGTACAGAGAGAAGTGAGTACAGCCACAGAAAACATACAAATATAAGCATGCAGAGTATTGTGTAGGGTCTGTCGAATGCTTTTCTCCATGGAGATGTTATTGCCTTGTCTGGAAAGTTTCACAGTATGGCATTAAACCTTTCTATCTTCATGGAGTGTAAACCAGACCAAGTTACAGGTCAGATCTGTGGAGAGACAATCCCGCTCACAGTCAGAAAGCCTGTTTTTTAGCTATTTTTGAGCTATAAAACCATCTGTAATTGAATAAATGTAAGGTAGAGCTGTTTAAAGTCATATTGTGGAACATTCCCAGGCAGAGCAATGACATATCCATAGAAACAAGCAGGTGACGGACCCTCAACCAAAAAGTTACGAAGTCCATGTAGTTGTAAAATCTCTGAATGCAGCTTTTTGAAAATCTATTGAAAATTGATTCTCATATAATAACAATGTGATACTGTGAGTGACCTAGTTTGGAGTAAGTCTATATATAATATTTTAGGCTGTGTTACAGTGAGCACTCCAGCCTGGGTCGGTAAAGTGTGTTTTTGGGTCACTCGGCGTTGCTATAGGCCCATCGAAGCACACGGGGGCCCCTCTCAGACAGATTAAGGATAGGATTTCTTAAGAATGGGTCAGTGGCAGTTCAAGGGGATATACAGTACACAAGTGTATACATCTTTACTCACAGTGTTTTAAGATGTATTACAGCCATTTTTACTGTAACCCTTAAGAATAAGTATGATTATTTCAATTTATACACTGAATAGTCTAGCCTAGCAGTAAGTACTAGTGTTATTATAACAAATAATAAAATTTCAAACTTGATGTCAATACCAGGAAAAAGGCAATTGAAATTTGTTTTTAAATACTTTTTTTAGACAAAAGACACAAAATAATAGTACTTTTTAAAAATCTCCATCTGGTCTGATACAAGTTCTGATACACAGTAGGTCAAGGCCATTATAAAATTGTTAAAGGTGCACTGTGTAATTTATCTGCTGGAGGGTCTGTCACCTGCTTGTCTCCATGGAGATGTGCCTAGAATGTTCCACAGTATGGCCATGAACTTATGAATCTTCACAGAGACTTGCAAGCCAAAATACAGGTTAGATTTGTGGAGAGGCGACCAAAACCGGAGTAAGAATGGATGTTTTTAAAGATATTTTTGAGCAATAAATAACACCTGTAGCTCAATAAATGCAAGACAGATTAGTTTAATGCCATAATGCGGAATATTTAAACCAAAGCATCAACATCTCCATGAAGACAAACAGGTTGCGTACCCTTTCCAGAAAATTTACACAGACTAATTTTGTACTATTTATGTGATTTTGTTCAGTATCAGTACAGTTGTTTTGTCTTTCAGATGTTATTTAGTTCATTTTAATGCATATACTTTTATTTTGAAATCCCTGCTTTTATTTTGGAACACCACACCAGTCCGTGGAACCAAAAGTGTGAAAAATAAGTTAGAGATATGAGAACGCAAATTGGAAACAAGAGGCAACAAAACAGACTCATACCTCTAAAAATCAAACTACAGAAGCAATGCCTGTATGTATACATTTGTATATTTTGTTTGGGTAATTTTATGGGTGTATAAATTACTTAAAAAAGGATGTTCTTATTTAAAGTAGTCAGCTGTTAGTTAGGTAAACTGTTATTTTCTTTGTAGCACGCATCCTCAGGTAATATGCAAATGATAAAAAACAAATCTGTGATAAATTCATGTATTTATTTTCATGTATTTTTATAAAAGCCAACTTTTATGGGCAGTTTGTTGTAGCTGTTTTACTACAAGTTAATGAGCTCTCAATATCTGTACTGGTTGTACAGATATTGTACAACCTGATTGTATTTCTGCATTTTCTCTTGCAGTTTCACTTTACATTCATAAGTTGAGCATTAAATGTAAAAACTACTCTCGTCATTGAATCAGAGTTTAGCTCGCTGTCAAGCTGCAACTGCTAACATCTAAGTGAGGACAGTACAACAGTATAGACTCAAATGTTGGTAAATAATAAGCAATGACTCAAACATCACTCATATTCATTGGCGTGTGCTATATTCCAGGTTGATTCTAGTCAGAGTAACATTGTCTCCTCACATAGATGCTGTCCTTCTGGTAGCGGAGGAACAGGTTGTGCATGATGGCGGCCTCGTGCAGCTCGCTCAGTGTGGACATGTCCTCCACGCCCTGGATGCTGCTCGGGTGCATGGCGTACACTGTTTCTCTGCTCAGCTGCTCCCTCTGGAGGTACATCACCTGGAAAAAGAGCACGTTTACAAGAAGTTAGCTTCAAGGAAATACATGTAACCCACACCACATGAGTCAGTATAAGAGCCGTGAGTCATGTTACACCGTGCCATTATTATGTCTGGTCATTGGATATGAAGGTGACATTATAGTTTCAGCACAGCGTCAAAATGTGCTGATAATACAAAGAGTTGGAAGATATTTGCTTGTTTATATGTTTATACACTACCATTCAAAAGTTTTAGAATGCCACTCTTTTTCCAGTTTTTTACTTTTTACTGTTTACTGTTAACCAAAACATATTCTAAACTTTTGATTCATGAAAGTGTCCACCTTTGGCAGAAATAACAGCTGAACACACTCGTGGCATTCTTTTTTACAATAGAAATCAAATATTCTTCAGAAAGTTCTTCCTAAGTCTGTTCCCATAAATGTGTGGCACTTGTAGGTTTCTCGGCTTTCACTCTTCTGTCCAGTTCATCCCAAAATCAGCTCAATGGGATTTAAGTCTGGAGACTGTGCTGGACACCTTATGTTTTCAAGATCACCATCTTGTTCTTTTTTCCTGAGGTAGTTTTGGCAGAGCTTGGACTTGTGTTTTGTTCTTTTATCTTTTTTTTAACCTCTGTCTGTTCAGTATTTACCTTTGTACCATTTCAAGCTATTCATTGGACTTTCAAGGCTTGAACTGCAATAAGTAAGTGGAAAAACTGGGGTGTTCTAAACCTTTTGACCGGTAGTGTATATGTTTTGGAGTAGTGTAGTCATGATACAAAAAATTCAAACTTGATTTCGATACTAAGGAGTAGCCTTGATACTCAGTACTGATTCTGATACCAGTTGTTGTTTTATTTATGAATGAAAAGAAGGCAACGTGTATTATTTCTTAAATTTTACAGTTAAATTATTATTTATGTAATTAGGGATTTTTTTTGTAATCTTAAATGTGGCGGAAGCACTTTGTTCTTATATGAACTGCATGCCTCTTGCACTTCAGTAAAAAAGACCTTGTGGAATTTGGCATATTTGTTTTTGCAGAAGTTTTTTTTTTTTTTTCCTGTACAGATATTGAGATATATATTGTATATCGAGATACAGCAAAATATATTGAGATATATTTTTGCTCCATATTGCCTAGCCCTACTGTGAAGTCATGACATCAAACTCAAGCTCCTGTCTGGGTCCCTTTTGTAGAGAATGTTTGGTGAGTTTTATCAAGGGGAAAGACGTTATTGCCCTTCTTCTTACAGGATTTGGCGCATTACATACGTCATGACTAAATAGCAGAGATCGGTTGAACAAAAACAGTACCCGCCTTACGAGCGAACAAATCCTAATGCTGCGAGGTCAGACGGTTTCCACGAAGTGAAACGGTCTGATGAATCAGACTATAATCCTGTAGGAACATAGTCAAGAGTTTGTTGATCTTGAACAAAAATAATCCAAGTCAGCGTTTGTGGATTTCTGTTGGATCAGCATGGTCACATTGGATTTCAAAGCTGAGAAAACATTGCGTAATCATAAGTAAAGGTAAGTATGAGTTATATTAAAATCATGTTTGTAAAATGAGTAATCTAAAACTCTCTGATCTTATCTCAAACATGAGCTGTCTCCTGATGTACTCATTCCAGATCCTGAAGTTAGGACTTTCCCAAACCATAGCGAACTCTGACTCTATACTGACTCATGACAGATAAAACTCAGTAAAGCTTGTATATGTTTCTACTGCTTTAGGCTATAAACCATTTTACACACGAATACAACAAAGAGGGCAAGTTTACTCAGATCTAATCTCCATGTACTCAGTGGGACGGGGCCGGGCACATAAGGTGAATCACTTAGGCATGCTTGAGTTAGCTAATGCTACTTCAAAAGACTGGAACAGCTCAACTTCACAGTATAAAGTATAGATCCTTCAAAAATGTGCAAACAAATACAGTCTAAATTCTGTAATGGAGGCAGCTGGAGGCAAAAGTGAAGTGGAACATAGTGTGATTTAGGGAAACTGGAATTAATATACATTCACAAAATATGAAAACACAAAAGAAATTTGGCAAATGAAAACCTCTCAGATCAAAGGTGGGGACTTGCAAGTTGTGACTTGGACTCGAGTCAGACTTGAGTCACTATTTTTAGGGCTTGAGACTTGACTTGATAAAATGGACTAAGACTTGGGATTTGACTTGGCCTTGAAGGTCAGTGACTTGGGATTTGACACAGACTTTAGGCCTGTGAATTGAGAAGACTTGAGAAGAACTTTTAAATCTTATTTCTTTCTATTCTGACTGTAATGATTCACTGTAAGATCTTGTCAAGACATTTAAAAAGAAAAAAATTGCAATTCTATAACTCGTATATACTCTATAAGTACTCATATATAAAGATACTATGACTTTGTAAGTACAATTTGTCTTAGAGTTCATATAAATTGCAAAAATGTAAGCTATATTTGGTATTTTAGTTTAAAGACTTGAAATGACTTGAAGCTTAAAGCAGACGACTTGGACTTGACTTGGACTTATGGGCCAGTGACTCGAGACTCGACTTGGACTTGCCTATATTTTACTTTTGACTTGACTCCGACTTAAGACTTGAGACTCACTTGAAACTTGCAAAACGACGACTTGGTCCCACATCTGTCTCAGATACACGAGTGAGTCCAGTTTAAAAACATTGTGTTTTACGTTATTTGTTAATTTAAAAAGAGGTTACGATACGCATTTTAATAATAGATTTTATAATTTTACTGGCCAAATCTTTACAGAAATGTTGAGCCCAATACAGTTTCTATTTCTACAGATACATTACACATTTCATAATAAATTATATTATACTATTACTGTGTGAAGCTCAAATACAGTAGAAAATAGTATTTTTCCACCCTCCTTAAAGATGCACTGTGTAACATTTATAGTGGAGGATTGGTCAAATGCTTTTCTCTATAGAGGTGTTATTGTTGTGTCTGGAATGTTTCACAGTGTGGCATAAAACCTTTCTATCTTCATGGAGACCAAACCAGACCAAGTTACAGGTCAGACCAAAAGGTCAGAATGTCTGTTTTTCTGGGTATTTTTGACCAACAAAACCGCTTGTAATTGAATAAACGTAAGTTAGAGCTGTCTGATGTCACACTGAGGAACATTGTAAGTAGGACAATGGCATTTCCATAGAAACAAACAAGTGACAAATCATCCACTAAAAAAGTTACACTATGCACCTTTAACAGAGAAGCACCGTTGTTTATTTTTTGTTATAATGCCGTAAAACCACTAGCATTTAGATCTGTTCATCAGTTAATAAATGAAAATATATTATGTGAGCTTCACTGTGGCTCCATTCGCCTCCATTCCAGTATTTTGAACATTCTGATGACGAAGGATTTTAAAGGGCCTATAGATCAAAATGGCATTTAAAGTCATAATCCAAACTGAAATGAACTATAAGTGCTGATGTAAGACTTTTTGATCGGTGGTGGTGTTTTGCTCGGAACCACAGTCTGGTCGATACTGATGGACAGGGCCTGGAGCTGTGGTGTCCTGGGACATTACTGCTGCTCCTCTGACTCTTCAATAGAGTCACATCTGGGAACCACACAAACGCTGAGTCAGCTCATGGCCCACAGAGCTACTGGGAATTGTAGTTTTTAAGTTTGAAGCTGTTTAGTTTACTGTTTGTAGATAATTCACATTTTAAAACATAATATAAGGACTTCATAATAGGAATAGGATTTTATGAACAGACAAAATAGCAAAATAAAAACACCAGGATAATGTAGAGATGGGTAATACGGACATTGTAAGACCACAATGACAAAGGCTCACAGCAGCAGTCACAGAGAGAGGGGTGGCAATTTTCCAATGTTGTTAATGTGTTAGCTGTATCCATTTATATTTATAGTCTATGGGTGCAAATCTAAGAAGAATGTAAAAGGACTATAAAATAACCTACAAAAGCAGACATATTCATTCATATAAATCATTATTTGGACTTTTACAGCATATATTTGTTCCATTTTCATCTGCAGCATTTTGTATATATGAATCCATCTTTTACATATATAACAAATTCCCTGATATATCAAATATCTTGAGAATCGACCCACTTTTTTGTTAGTCGCAAGCCCTTATAAATTTACGATTGCCAAAAAAAAAAGGCATTCTGGGTAAAAAACAAAAGGGTGAAAGAAGGAAATATGGTCTTCTAGGAACCAAAAAAGCGTATACAGTCGTCCCTCACTATAACGTGGTTCACATTTCACGGCCTCACTGTTTCACAGATTTTTTTTTAATGCAATTTTGCATGCTTTTTTTTTTTTTTTTTACAATGCATGAACATGCATTGTGTTCCTCCCCCTACGTCCTGATTGGCTAAGGGACTGTAGACCACTGTCAATCAATCTCCTTTGTGCCATGTCTCCTGTACAGTACAGAATGAGTTCAGCTGCCAAATTTACATACACACACACATTTACAAGTGTTCAATCACTCGCAGTGTGATTCTGAAATGCTGTATGTTTACAAGTTTTCTCCCCGACAAAACCCACAATGTCGACTAAACATTCTGCACCGACAAAGGCTCCTGCGGTCCTGAGGAAAAGGCTAATCATCGCACAAAAAGTTGGACTTCTGGACACGCTGAAGGAAGGCTGAAGTTACACAGCTGTAGTGTATTACGGAATAAATTAATCTTCGGTTCGTTACATAAAGAAGGAAGAAAAATAACATAAGGACGACAGCAGCAATAAGTTTTAAGAAAGACGCAAAAAGGGTTAACTGTCCTGTCTGAGAAAACTGTATAAGGTGTGTGGTGAGGGGTTTTACAGCCTTAAAACAGATATAACTAGAAAAGCACTCAGAGAGCGCAGACCTCCACCAAGGACTACCCCCATTTTTTATATAAATTGCGATAAAATCAGTCTTCTGGATCAGATCCGGATCAGCCTTTGGAATATGAAAGAGGATCCCATTGTCCATCCCTGAGTGAAATGTCATGGGGTTTGGTCAATAATT